GCTGAGGGTCTCACCTTTGGTCTCAGGGAAGGATGCCCGAATTCCCAATGCATGGTTGTGGGCTTTCTCTCCCCCTGTCTGATTGGAGCTCACAAAGCTTTCGGAGACTGACGGCGAAGGTCGGAACCGTCAGCGCGCAACGAACCATTCAATTGTCGCGGTGTATAGAAAAGTTGAAATTGGTGAGACATATTTTGCAGTCAGTGAGTGAACTGGAGCGGCTGGGGCTGTCGGTTGGGTTGGATTTGGACTCAACCCGATCGATGTAAATTTCGATTTTATGGTTGGAGGCTTCCAACCAAAAAGCCCCAATGAGTGCGCAGCTGTCCACTTTGGGGGGAATATACTCTAACGAAGCCTGCAGCGGCTGAGTCGTTGTCGACGAAGAGCAGGATTTGGTGTTTGCGTAGCCTGGGGCCCCAGGCGGCGAGAGCTAAGGGACAGGCTAGAAGTTCAAGCTGTGTATTCTATCTGCAGGGTTGAAAGCGGGTCTACCAACACAGCTCCCACGATCCATTGACATGCGGTCTGTTTGGGACGTCAGAGGCGTTTGTGTGCAGAATGAGTGGCGGAAGGGAGTGGTCAACACTCAACTCTCTCGGCGGGGCGTGCTGCACGAAGAGTTTCATGAGCTGTAAACAGGTAACGATGTCCGGGGCCAAGCTATGGTCATCTGATGTCGTCGGATAGCGCCTGTGCAACATTGGCCTACCTTTCCATACAATGTGCTGCACAGGAAGCCGAATTGCCCGAGAATGCTGGCTGCTAGGGTCGGACTATTTGCCGCAAGGATCTCGTCGATCATGAAACAGATGAGGTTTGCTACACGGGTCGGTTTTGGCTCAACCCTAAGAATCCTCTGCGACGCTGGAGACTGCGTGTTAAAGGCCGCTCCCAACACCATGGCAATGGAGGCTGGGGTTTGAATTTTTTCAGGGCCAAGCGTTAGCCCAAGGAGCTTAAAAGACTTGCGGACGATGAACATAGTGGCTTCTGTGCCTCTGCTTCTCTTAAAACGACAAAGAAGTCGTCGAAGAAGTGGCCCAAGAGCAGTCGATATGCTCTGGACAGCAGACCTGCCAGTCGGTAGAAGAGGACGGCAGCCGCGGCGCCAAACGGTTGACCGAAGAGCTCGAACCTGTCGTGTGTGCGGGTTGCACGCTCCTGTGATGGAGATACTGACTTGGCTATCCAGCAGTGAACTTGCCGGTATCCACCATGTCCTCAGTGCCGATCACAAGCTTGGCTTGCGTGTGCTTCGCAGCACCGGCCAGCATAACCATCACATAGTCCACCATTAAAATCCGAATCTTCTGAGCCGGGTTTGTATGACCAGCTGTGTGATCATCAATGCGCCTGAACTTTGGCTTCCCCTTTTCATCGGTCCCTTGTCTGAGGCCGAAACTTGGTATGATGTTAACAGGGGCCAGCCATGGTGCCCTTGCTGACTTCCTTGAGGGTCTTTTCGTAGATGGCTGAACTCACCGGCAAGCCGCAGGACTGAGCCATCACCTTCAACACCCGCCCAATGGTCTTGAGGCGCCTCATTGGTGCGGTCTTCGGCAGCTCGTCGATTGTGATTGTGAGGCAGAAAGAAAGGCAACTCCAGGGTCTTCAGAGTCCCTGGTCAAGCATAACTTTGGGACGCATGTGTCCTCCAACTGGTATCGCAATCCAAGGGTTTCCATCAAGGACGGTCCGTCATCCCTTCTCTGTCCTGGTCCTCGTCTTCCAGGATTCGTCTCGCCTGGCTGGGCTCCTCCACCACCTCTCCCAGAGAGCCACCTCCCTCGTCGGGCTCCGCCACCCGGCTCGATCGTCTCCAGCATGCTCTCCACTGGGTTGATGTCGGCCGACTCATTTCGACGCTTTTGAAGGCCTCCGTCCAAGGCACCTTGCCACAACCTGCCATCATCAAAGAACTGCGAAGCCAGACCCTTGCCATCGAACGCTTGTTTGAACTGTCCCACAGCACCGCGCGCCTCCGCAGCTTTCCTCGCCATCACTGCATCTACTTCCACTTCGTCTGGACAGGACTCAGACTTACTTCCGTGGGGCGCCACCGGCGTGAGGCCCGTTGCCTGCCACGCCTACGTTCACTAACCGCCGACTGCCCTTTCAGCACAATCCATTGGATACACATCTGGCATGGATTTGAATTGCCGCTGGGGCTCCAGTCACCAGCCATCCTCACAGCCTTCGGATCCAGCTCAAGATGCTGCATCAAAGGCTCCGTGCCGCCTTGAAAGGTGGCGCTCCTCGACCCTCATACCCGTGCGACCACCCTCATTCTCGAATGTGGCAGGCCTTTTTCACGGTGTAGAGGTCGATGCCGAGGCGTGCTGGTTTGGTGGTGAATCCAGCACCGCCCTCGTGACCTCGTTGCCGGTGTGGTCGTCGAACTGCAATCCCGTGCCGTGTGACTCCACCAACAGAGCTACGAGAGTGAGCAACCACTGATCGTGCGTGGCTTCCACCCTCATCAAAGAGGCAACCCAAGGACGCGCCTTGCACTTGCCCTGGGTTATCCTATACCAACCACAGTGTCTTCTGGAGATTTCTCAGCGGGGTGTGAGACCTGAACCAAACACTCCCGGTAGGGTCGAAGCCAAAAGCCTTGCTAAAATAATCTACTGCGTAAAGCAAGGGTTCCACCCCCTTCTGGATGAGGAACTCCAGGTACTCCACCACCTTGAGCCTATCAAGGGTAAGACATCCTGCTCATCTGGGGGAGGGTTGAACAGTTGAACTCCTCCACCCAGTTTGTCAAGCCTTTCATGGCCTGGGTGTATCTCAGGCCGGTTGGGGGCTGTGTGGAACAGGAAGGGGGCTTTGTTAATGCCGCCGCTTCCCCTCACATACTTTCCCAGGTCCATTTCAGTCGTCCTCGAAGATGTCCATCGCCTCCCCAAACCTTCCCAGGAGCTCCTTGCAAAACACCAGACGGTGGAGGCGTTGCCTTGCGCTTCACGTCCTCCGCTTCGAAATTTTGTCCAAAGTCCTCGTACTTCTGCCGCTTCAGCGCCACCTCCGCTCCTTCCGAGGGTGGCGCCCCCCGAGTGAGGGCCTCACCTTCATCTCAAGGCTTAGGCAACCATGTACAACTGGCGCATGCCCTTCACGTTTCAAGATCCACGGCGCCACACCTCCGTCACCTATGGCGATCAGAATAGCCAGTCTGCCACCACCTCCTCCATGGACATGTCTCCCAGGATGGGCTCCGGGAGATGTCACGGCGACTACTGCGTGGCTGCTCGACCTTTCTGCTTCTTCTGCGGTCGCAATGGGGGACTCCGGCTCCGGAGTGCAGCTTCTCCGTCTATCGCGCCCCATTTCGTTGACCAGGGTGAGCGGCATTTCGCCTTCATGTCCTTGCCGGATTGTCGCCGCCAGCTTCAGCGGGCCACCCCTTGTGGCTCCCAAGATGGGACTGGACTCCGTCTTAGGGTCAAATTCCCGCTTTTCAGGAGCGGTCGGGCTGGCCAGCCCCGGATAGTCGAACCTATCCTACTTCTTCTCCCCCCAATGAATTGGAGACAAAAACATTGGCGAACCCGGATTGCCTCAGGTTCTTGTGCCAAAATGGCACCGCAAGCGGCCACCATCAGACATCCATAGTACTACGCACACTTCGCGCATCCAAAGTATTTGATCGTATTTGATCATACTTGCAACACTACCTGTAACCCTTCAAAGCCTGCTTTGGCTTGGGATCTCTCGAATCTATTCTGCTTTGGCACCTTGACTCTTCACTCGCTGGGGCCAAGTTTTTGACAGCCTTCTCCCGCATTCGACTGTATGCAGTTTAGAGATTTTAGGGCCACTCCGAACCGGGACCAGCAACTTACAGCCTGACCTGGAACTTTTGCTTCAAAACCTCTCCATTGAAACGGAAACCTCCTTCTTGAACCCATTGCAAAAAATCACTCCGGATTTCCCCGGATCATGTTATATAGGAAGAAAGCTTCAAGGCTACATGACATTTCCTTTGGGAACAAGAATTTCAAGAATGACGCTCCCCAACTTGCGAAGAAAAGGACTTGCCATACAAGTTGCAGAATATGACAGTGTATAACAATTCAATGCAATGGCGCCTTTCACTGAAGGTTGTGGATCTGTGGCGCGCAAAGACCTTTTCTCAGACCGGTTCAAGTGTGTTAGTGAAGGGAAACACAGCACAAGGATCCAAGTCTACAGAATTCCGAGAAAAAATGCAGATCTTGCGGAAACAAAAGAACATAAAAACCCACATATCGATTGCAACACTTCTGCAACGCAAATACGAACCAGAAGACTCCAGCATGCAAACTGTGAGACGGACAGGCACTCACTTGCGCACTGAAAATTTCGCTCACTTGCGCACCAAGTGACATAAATTTCACTCACATGCGCACTGACACAGCTAACAATCAACCAACTCCCTGAGAAATTGCATCAATATGCGCATCTGGGGTGGGGTGGGGTGGGCTGGGCTGGGGTGGGCTGTTAACGTCCTTTCACATGCAAACCAGAATGGGGACGTTCACTGACACGTGCACAGGAAAACGACGTTCAGTCACAAAAACTTGCACGCATACATATTCATCAACATTCGTATCGGGGGTGGGGGGGTGGGGTGGTATTACTTCATGTCTTAGCCCAGAGCAAATCCAGCGCACAAGCGCGGGAAAACTCCAGTGCACAAGCGAGTGCTCGCCCCTCCGAGACTATCAGCAGGAGCCCACAACTCTGCTTTCGAAAAGTTTGCAGTGAACGTTGATCAATTAGCTTCTGGCAGACTGTGGCTCTCTGGCACACCTTGCGGGACACCTCTTTCAGCATAGGCCTCTGAGTGGAGAATCTCACAACGTCTGACAATGGATCGACAGCTGTCCGCTGCAAGATTTTGCAAGAATCACAAGATATAACAAGCATCACAAGCTAAGGCAAGAGGTGTGCACTAGGTAAATGGCCCTGAGGTCAACAACAGGGAAGGAACCTTGTGATCCTTGGATGCCTTCCTGGGCGGTTGAGTCGCAAGTCACGAGTCACCAGTCAGAAGTCACAAGTCACGTGTGCCATGAGCGCTTCTTAGAGAAGCAGTTGTACAGTGATGCATGCGCTATCATTCGCTGCACGAGCCTGCTTCTGGGCCCCTTGTTGAGACCTCGCTGTCGCTGTCGGCGCAGTGGATGCAACATCACGGAATTCATTGTGACAACGTGTGACCGCAAGCAAGAACCGCACCAGCTTGGTCGCGCAGCATCTGCACCTGCTTACACACTCCAGCAATCCCCCTAACAATCGAGACACTCTGGAAAACAATTCTACACTTTCAGCTGGCACACTCTGCATAGATGACTCTGGCCAGCTATAAAACTATATATATATATGTATGTATAAAAGCTTTGCTACGCCTTGACTGGCTCTCGCTTCATCAGCCTGGGATATGCTGATATGATGAAGGTCTGATAGCTTGACCAAACTGTTTCGGCAGGTGCCTCCGCATTTAGGCGCTTGGATCCACAGTTGGTTGCGGCTACAGCTGCCGCAGCGGCAGCAGCAGCAACCTGCACGAGTTATCTGCCAAGTTTGTGATCCAAATCACCTCGTGAATCTTTTGTGCCGCGTACGTATAGATAGATTAATGGCTTTAAAGATTTGTAGATAGATAGATAGATAGATAGATAGATAGATAGATAGATAGATAGATAGATAGACAGACAGACAGACAGATAGATAGACAGATAGATTAGGTAGATAGATATATTAGGTAGATAGGTAGATAGGTAGATAGGTAGATAGGTAGATAGGTAGATAGGTAGATAGGTAGATAGGTAGATAGGTAGATAGGTAGATAGGTAGAGATGGAGATAGAGATAGAGATACAGACAGACAGACAGACAGACAGATAGATAGAGATACAGACAGACAGACAGATAGATAGATAGATAGACAGACAGATAGATAGTTAGATATCTAGATAGCTAGATAACTAGATACTAGATACTTAGATATTTAACTATGTATATTTTTATTTTTTATATATATTTTTAGGTAGCTAGCTGGCTAGCTGGCTAGCTGTCTTAGATAGCTAGCATGTGGGTGCATGTAAAAATTCATCTGTGGTCATCATGTGTGAATGATTTCAAGTAGCGTTCGTAAGCTTGTGGGATCGCCAAGTGTATAGAAAACCCTTGTGCGCAAGGTCAAAGTCCTTTGGATCACTTGGTAGGTGGTAAAGCTGCTAGAGAACCTTGTGAAAAATCATACCCTGTGTGAAATGTTGAAGATCACCATGGGGTCACCTGCTTAAGGAATGGGTTCCTTATTCTGATCCTCAATGCACACCTTGAATATCTGCGCTGATTGCTCAGGAAAGACCATTCCTATCTTGCTTTCTGGCCAAGAGCCCGGCAAGGTGCACCAAAACTAGGACTTGAGTCACTGAAACCAATTGGGTCCAGGACTAATCTTGCTTTCTATCTCTACACATGAAACCATCAGCCAAGAACAAAGGCTCTCGCGATGATTTCAAAAGGCAAATGGGCTCTGAAACGCCAAAAAGCACTCAAGCTTCAAAAATCGCAGAGTCCTGCTGTTGCTCAACCCCCCACTTTGTCCCAAAATCACCGGCTTTTTCTGGCTTTCCTTGCAATTTGGCCCGTACCCAGGTCATCCCGCTTCTTCAAATATCAGAGACAAGTAAAGGGGGGGTGCAGTGAAGCTTTTCTGAAATGCTCATTGCCTCCATCGCAAGAGCCATCTCTTGTTGCGTGTCTCCAATTGCTGAGCTGCCCTGTTTCCCCTTCCTCTGAGCTGCCAGGAGTTTGGGCCTTGGAGAGACTCAACTTTCGCCTGCTGTGCTCACTGTAGTGTGGGAAACAGTGGGACAACTGGAAGCAACTGCTGAATGTCACTGTCACCCTGCACTTGGCATCAGGCGGTAAGCCCAAGTTGGCAAGCGATGACATCTGACCCATGTCCGAGTCATGACCTTGCACACTTAGAACAGGTCGGGGGGTCGAGGTTAAGGCCAGCTCCAGCCAGCTCAGGCTGTTCTGGCTAAGCAAATGACCATAGTAAGGGTCTTGTCTAAAAAGCATCATGAATACCTACATGATCAAACCATATAGCACGTCACGATCCATATACAGCCATCCAAATCACACAATGGCAGGCAATGCCGCAATCGGGCTCACAGGAACCACTCTGTGGGAATGCTCTTGGCCGCTCTCCAAAGGAAGTGACGCACAACTGACGCACAAGTGACGCACAGGGGCATGCCAACTTTCCAAGTGTAAACGTGATCCTTTTCAAACTTGTGTACACAGCCGTGGAAGTACCTGAGAATGTGTACATATATGTTGGTTCCCATCTTACGGGTTTCAATCCAAAACATGTCGACACAACAACAAGAGCTGTGTCCAGGTGAAGTAGCATGAGGCCTATTTATCAATTTATGTTCTCTCATCATTCTGGGTCTTGGGTGGACACCTTGCGCTCTTTTCTCTGGGATGGTTCGCAACACCAACCCGGACATGTTGGGTGTGTTTGGCGAGAGCAAGTTGCTTATGGTTCCAAACTCGGCATTCTAAAGCAGCAAAGCAAAAGGAAAACATCCAATACATCACGCCTAAATGGTTTCAAAAAGAAGCCGAGAAAAGGGAAAAATTATACACGCTTTCAGCCAAAGAGGGGTCATGCGCTACTCCCACAAAAGTCCGCATAGATGTGTGAGTCACCGTTATGGACTTAGGCACCAAAAAATCACACTTCCATTGACATTCCAACTTGAAGTATCCAGTCTGCGTGCAGTTTCTCTTTCCAGGAGGTCAGACAGTGCAGGTCAGGTGCATGGGGTGTATGGCGGATATCGGTCTGAGCGGGGAACGTTCTCGGAAGACTGGAGATGTTGCCTTCAGAAACGACGCCGCATGACGAACAAACGACCAACTCATTAATCAGACTCTACTGAAATCAATCTTTTCCCCAAATTGACTCAGTCTCGCCACACAAGTCTGCCCTTCAAACGCTGGAACTGAGTGGAGTTCAGCATCACTGGTTGCTATCTTTGCACCAGAGCCTCCAGCTGCAGCTCACAAGAACTCCAAAGCCAAAGCCAAAGTGTGCTGCTGAATCTGTTCCCAACTGCAAAAGATGTGCATTTACTTTCATACTTCACAATGTTCATAGCTCACCAGTATTCACCCATGTTCACCAACTTTGGAAGTGAGGAAAGGTTGATGGAGCGGAGCATGAGGTGGCAAAGGGGCCAAAACACTGGCTACGTGCTTCAAAATTCCTTTCCCGCGGTACAAATTCTCACCCAGTGGTTCACGCCTTGGTAAGCATCCCACTGAACCTGTGGGGGTTTAAGATCGGGACTTGCATCTCGTTTGTTTGGAATGATTTCAGCTGGTTGGACCTGAGAGCAGAAGGCTGAAGTAAAGAGGAAATTCAGAATTTCACCGAAAAGTACGGAACAACACCCAATCCATTTTGTAGGAAACCTCTTGAGGCTACTACCACAGTTCCGGAGTCGATGTCATTGTGGCCTTCCAGAATGTTGCAATGTCAAAAAGAATCAGGTTTCTTTGAACAGAGAACATCTCGGAACATCTCCCACCTAGCTGCACTTCTGCCTGGCAAAATGTGGATTGGCTCTGATGCCATCTTTCAGGTGCAAAGTCCGAACCTTCGCTTCTCTGCTTTGCCTCGCGCATTGGTGATTGGTTTTCCAGGATGAGCAGAACCTATTGGTTGTGAGGTGCACAGCCCATCTTCAAGCTCGCCTTGGGGTGCTATACAGCACTTCATCCTGTGTTCCTGTCAATTTTTGCGATTTCAACCAAGAAACAAATGCTACAACAGCAAGGATAAGTTGGAAAGATGTCCACACAACTGTTGTACATTTCGCATTTCTTTCCTCCCAGCCAAAGAGATCTTCCGTCGACATCTGAAGCGGGCTGGAACCTGAAAGCTCAAGGGTGACTTGCACCTGACGAGTGATGTTTTGCTGAGCCCAAGACGAATGACCTGATAGCGCCTGTGTCTCCACAAGCAAGCCATCGAGGCCTATAAGATCTTGACTCATTGACTGCATCAAATGGAAATGCTCAGAAAGGCCACATGTGTTCCAAAAGCCCCGCTTTGCAAAGAAGGGCAAATCGAGGTCAGCCGGCTGCAATAGCCTGAGAGAGCTGCTCAAATTGAAGTTTAAAAATGTTGGATAGAACCTTTCGACAGAGTTGAACTTGCCTCTCCGGTAAAGTTCGCAAGCTTGACATTACCAGTACTACCGCACAAGGCGGTGGCGGAAGTTTCAAGGATAGGACCCTATAGGAGAGGTGAGTTGCTGTGATGCATGGATGGCTGAGCGAATCCACTGATGCTGATGGACCGAAAGGTGGTTGGAGTTGTGTTTTTTGGAGTGGTTGCAATGGTTGCAGTGGTCACCTCACTCACAACTCCTGGATGTAGCGTGGTGTAGCGCAGTAGTTGTACGTAGTTGTAGTTGTAGTGGGGCTGATGTTGTTGAAGTTGTAATGTTGTAGTTGTAGCTGCGGTTGTAGTTGTAGTTGTATTGTAGCTGAAGTGTAGTTGAAGTTGTAACTGCATTAATTTTAGTAATTGTAGTAGTTGCAATAGCTGTAGGAGCTGCAGCTGTAGTTGTAACTGTAGCTGTAGTGTAGTTGTAGTGTAGCTGTACTTGTAGTTGTAGTTGCAGCTGTAGTTGTAGTTGTAGTGTAGTGTCGTGGTAATTGTTGTTGTAGTAGCGTGTTTGAAGTTGAAGTTTAAGTTGGAGTTGAAGTGTAATTGTAGTGTAGCTGAGGTTGTAGTTGTAGTTGCAGCTGTAGTTGCAGTTGCAGTTGTAGTGTAGCTGTAGTAGTTGTTGTAGTTGTAGTTGTAGTTGTAGTTGTAGTGGCACTTGTAATTGTAGTTGTATTTGTATAGTACTTGCCGAAGGAAGCTTAGAAGTCAAACTTCCGACAATATGGACACATGAAAAGCAGAGATGGGAAGAGTCAGAGAAGAGAAGAGAAAAAGAAAGAAGATCAAAAAAGAGAAAGTCTCAGAAGAAGGAAGATCCAGGTGCACAAAAAGGTAGGAAAGCCGCCAAACACTCAGTTTTTCCGATGATTTGTGGCTCCGGAGGGTCGAAAAGTAGGCTCGCTAAAGCGGCGGGTGCGGAGCCAGCTGGCCAGATGAGAGACGAAAAATTGCACGCTGTTGTGGCGCGAAGCATATTTCCAAGTCAAAATGTACAAAACACACCAGGTTCGGACCTCTTTTGGAAGTTGAGATGATGAAGAAGTGCACGCCGTTGTGGCGCGAAGCACATTTCGAAGTCAAAATGTACAAAACCCACCAGGTTCAGACCACTTTTGGAAGTTGAGATGATGAAAAAGTGCACGCCGCTTTAGGGCGAAGCCCATTTCGAAGTCAAAATGTACGAGACACACCAGGTTCGGACCACTTTTGGAAGTTGAGATGATGAAAAAGCGCACGCCGCTGTAGCGCGAAGCACATTTCCAAGTCAAAATGTACAAAACACACCAGGCTCGGACCACGTTTTGAAGTTGTGATGTCGAAAAAGTGCACGCCGTTTTGGTGCGAAGCACATGTCGACGTCAAAATGCACAAAGCACCATCTTCGGAGCACTTTTTGAAGTTGTGATGTCGAAAAAGCGCACGCCGTTGAGGCGCTAAGCAGATTTCGAAGTCAAAAGTGTAAAAAATGATAGGTTCGGAGCATTTTTGGACGTTCGGATGTCGTTTTGCGTGGCAGGCGCAAGGGATTATGCACCTTGTCAAAAGTGAGCAACACGTGAGGGTTTGTAGAATTTCCAAAAACGATGGCAGGCGTGGGACATTTGAAGAGGATCTGGCAAGATGCATTTTCCGTGGCAGGCGCAGTGCAAGAGACATCTTCATCAGAGATGTTAGGAGGCCCGGGCGCTGATTTCCTGAGAGGGGTCGCATGTTGGAGCATCAGATCTTCAGTTTTGGGAAGATGATTTTGCGTGACAGGTGCAGCGCTTCGTATGACCTGGCATCACTTTTTCGTGGCAGGCACAGTAATTTAGACAGGTGGAGTCGAAAAAAACGCAAAATGCATTGGCACGAGGCCGTCAGCTGTGCACTCAACTTTCCATTTTTGAAGGTAAGTCACATCAAAAACGAAACAATTCTGCAAGACTTCCTTCAAAAATGGAAAGTTGAGTGCAGAGCTGACGGCCTCGTACCAATGCGTTTTGCGTTTTTTTCGACTCCACCTGTCTAAATTACTGTGCCTGCCACGAAAAAGTGATGCCAGGTCATACGAAGCGCTGCACCTGTCACGCAAAATCATCTTCCCAAAACTGAAGATCTGATGCTCCAACATGCGACCCCTCTCAGGAAATCAGCGCCCGGGCCTCCTAACATCTCTGATGAACATGTCTCTTGCACTGCGCCTGCCACGGAAAATGCATCTTGCAGATCCTCTTCAAATGTCCCACGCCTGCCATCGTTTTTGGAAATTCTACAAGCCCTCACGTGTTGCTCACTTTTGACAAGGTGCATAATCCCTTGCGCCTGCCACGCAAAACGACATCCGAACGTCCAAAAATGCTCCGAACCTATCATTTTTTACACTTTTGATTTCGAAACGCGCTTAGCGCCACAATGGCGTGCACTTTTTCATCATCACAACTGCTAAAAGTGCTCCGAAGCTGGTGCATTGTACACTTTGACTTCGAAATGTGCTTCGCGCCACAACAGCGTGCACTTTTTCATCATCTCAACTTGCTTTGTAAATTTTGACTTCGAAATGTGCTTCGTGCCACAACGGCGTGCAATTTTTCATCTCTCACACCGCTTTAGCGAGCCTACTTTTCGACCCTCCGGAGCCACAAATCATCGGAAAAACTGAGTGTTTGGCGGCTTTCCTACCTTTTCGCGCACCTGGATCTTCCTTCTTCTGAGACTTTCTTTTTTTGATCTTCTTTCTTCTTCTCTTTTCTTCTCTGACTCTTCCCATCTCTGCTTTTCATCTGTCCATATTGTCGGAAGTTTGACTTCTAAACTTCCTTCGATGATAATTTTGAGAAGTCATCAGGGCAGTACCTGTAGTTCAGACCCTGATCCACAAAGGTTGAAACACTTACCAGTAGTACCGCACAATGCAGCGGCGGAACTTTCTAAGATAGGAAACCTATCAGACAGGTTGGTTGTTGTGAATCATGGATGGCAGGGCGAACCCACTGATGGATCCAGAGGTGGTTGGAGAGTCGGGCTATCTATCTATCTATCTATCTATCTATCCATCCATCGATCGATCTATCTATCTATCTATCTATCTATCTATCTATCTATCTATCTATCTGTCTATATATCTATCTATCCATCTATCTGTCTGTCTATCTAGCTGTCTATCTGTCTATCTCTCTTTTGATCTATTTATCTATCTGTCTAGCTATATATATGTCTATCTAAGAGAGTCTATCTATCTTTTTATCGGTCTATCTATCTGTCTATCTATGTGTAGTAGAGTGTAGTGGAGTGTAGTAGGGCGTAGTAGAGGGTAGCAGAGTGTAGTAGAGCGTAGTGGAACGTAGTAGAATGTAGTAGTGTGTAATAGTGTGTAGCAGAGTGTAGTAGAGTGTAGTAGACTGTGGAGTGTAAAGTGTAAAGTGCAGTAGAGTGTTGAATGTAAAGTGTCAAGCGTAGAGGGTCCGAAATATTGCACCTGCCACACAAAATGACATTCCACCCACAACGGATCTGCACCAAATGTTATACTGCCCTTGCCACGGAAAATGACACTCTCAGGATGTCCTACTGCTGCCACGCCATTTGCACGTTGTCACCACTTGACGCAGCCCTGACAATGCAAGTCGAAAAACACGCAACAGCACACGTCTAAAGTGCTGCACCTGCCAGACGATGGAGGTATCCAAAGTTCTGCGCCTGCCACGAGAAATACAACTCATCTTCTGAAAGCCTTCGACACCATGTGCAGACACGTGAGCATGTCACGGAGCGCCATGCCTGCCACGGTTAAATCTAGTGGTCACCGGCCACCTGAACCCCCCAGCAGCGTCGGCCTAGCGGGTTTTCCTGGGCCTGTGTCGTTTCGTCTGCCCTTAGTCTAGGGCCTGAGTTTCAGTGGCTACCATGCAGGGGATGTCAACCCTACATGAAAACTAACATGTTTGGAAAACAGCATGGGGTATGAGCACGTGTCAGCACTCCCCCTGGCTCTGGACCGTCAGGCCTTGAACCATCGCTTCGTGCATGCCTGGGAATTTCCATCCAGACATCTTCGGTGACAGCTGCCACCGGATCAAAACCTACCAGTGCAACCCAGCATTGGTCTGGGGTCTACGCACGGCATCTTTGTGCCCTCAGCTCAAGCCACTCTCAGTACCTCTGGTACCCGTCGCATCGTTGGCACATGGGGTAGCCTTGCATCGGCCCAGCGCATTCTCGTCGGCTATGCACTGTTCTCCCCGGTCCCTCTGAGTAGAGGATGGTAGCGGAGCTCGGCTGGAGGCCGACACAGCACAGAGGGCACCACGGCGACCTCACCATCCATCCAGAGTTCGCCAAAGTGGGGCAGGTGACCCCTGTATGGAATCTTGTGCCCCATGGCGTGATGTACACCGGCAGTGCCACGCCATGTTCGTCACTTGGCACTCTTGGAGGTGCTGCTTCGTCATCTCCTTCGCCGTTCTCGGCCATCTTTCCTCCTCCTTTTTGTGCTCCAGTCTCTGGGACTTCTTCACCTTCTGCCTGGCCTTTCTTTCCTTGGCCCTTGGGTGCCCCTTTCTGTGGGCTTCCTTCTCCTTTCGCGCCTTTGGCCGCGATCTCATCATCACCTTTCTTTCCTCCTTTCGCGCCTTTGGCCGCGATCTCATCATCACCTTTCTTTCCTCCTTTCGCGCCTTTGGCCGCGATCTCATCATCACCTTTCTTTCCTCCTTTCGCGCCTTTGGCCGGCGTTCCTTCTTCACTCCCTTTGGCTTGACCCTTCTCGGCCATCCTTTGGAAGTATGCCTGTGGTGGACTTCCTTTCCCTGGGTAAATCTGCCCATGGGTCTCCGGGTCCCAATCATCTGGGTGCTCGTGTTCTTCTTGTACGAGTCCTTGGAAGAACTCTTCCACCAGCCGTGGTGGCTCTGCGCCTGGCTCTTGTGGTGGTGGTGGTGGCACAAGCATGTGCACCGGTGTTGTGCTGCTGCTAGCTGCCTGTTGTGGGCGGCCTTTCTGTTGGCCTGCCTGTTGGCCCGGTCGGCCTGCTTGTAGGCCCAATTGGCCTACTTGTGTGCCTGCTTGGCCTGCTTGCTGGCCTTTCTGCTGTCCCTTTGGGATGGAATACTGTGTGCCAGCTGTCCGGCGGCGGTGCTTTTGGGCCCGGCGGATTCCTCAGGAAGAGGTTCCCATCACGATCTCCGTGAGGGAATGGAACACCTGGGTCTGTCTCCTCCTCTGTGTCTTCATCATCCCTGGCTTCCACTCTCCTTCTCCTCCTGATGCTCTCTGGGGTCCTCAACGCCTGTTCTTCTTGGCGTCGTGTGGGTGCTCCTCTCACCCTGCTTCCTTCTTCTTCTGTGGGCTCTTTGTCGGTCTCTCCGAAGCCAGCCCATCAGACAAGGGATGATCCTCTGGATCACTGAGACCACTCCCACAAGAGCAAACATCAGAATCAGCTCAATGTGGAACATCTCTGCCCTTTCTTCGGTCTCCTCATCATCTTGAGCTTTGGCTCCCTGAATGGCGATCATCAACGCCACGCACTGGAGTGCCTTCTCTACTTCTTTTGGGACTCTGGTCCCCTGTTCCTTCTTCTTGATCTTCTCTGCCTCTTCTGGTGCCGTCTTCTCTTCTGGCTCCTCATTCTTTTCTTCATCTTTTCCAATCTTCTTCATGCCAAGCCCCTTCTTGAGCTTCTCCAGCCTGGCTGACGTCAGGCTCTTCGTCCCAATGTCTGCCAGCATGTCTTCGCCTGGCAAATGTCGCAGCAGCCAGTCTCCTTTGGTGAATCTCTGTTTGGCATGCGCTGCTCTCAAGCGCAGATGTCTGGTCCTCCAGCTTCCTCCTTCTGCCAGACAGATGTTCACCGCTGCCTGCGAGTCTGATGCCATCATCTTCATGATGTGGGGTTCCAGCTCCTCCAAAATCGCTGCAACACTTTCCCCCATCATCAGTCCTTCTATGAGCTCGTTCAGCTCTGCCTCCGCTGTGCTAAGGCTGACCGTCGACTGCCTTGAGCTCTTCCATAGCAGCGGGGCTCCCCTCAGAGTCACAATCACTGAACCGTGACTTTCTTCACCTGAGGGTGCGAAGCTTGCGTCAGCATAAACAGCAAGCCCTGACTGCTCTTCCCATCCTTCCCATGATGGACCTTTCTCAAAGGTGATCCCTTCATGGATCGTGGCAGCCATGTATCCCCACAGTTGGGATGCGCTCTCTGCGACCCACTGGGGTTGATGCAGCACTTGGCTGGCCATCTTCGCCAAGGCATACATCATGTCTGGTCTGGTCCTCGTGACTAACCAGAGTGCTTCGCCCACTATCTTCTGGGCCTTCCTGACTCCTTCCACCTTTGGCTCTTCTTGGTGTTCAGCCGGTGGATCCTTGGAGATTGGCACCTTTCTCTTGGGCCATTTCTTCTCATCCTCCCCCACGTTCCTCCTCAGCAACTCCTTGACATAGTCCTGCTGGGATGCTGCCCAGACTTCAAGACCATCCTCTCCTTTGGTCTTGGAGATTCCCATGCCGAGGAATCTTGTGGGATCTTCGTTGATCCACTCTGGAGTTGAGGTGTTCCATTCCTTCTTGATGGTCTCAGTCAGTGCCTTCAGTAGCTGTGTTGGACCTGTGGCGAACAAGTCGTCCACGTAGACCATCATCAGGGCTTTTGGAGGCCCTTTCGGCTTCTCCTCTTCTTCATCCTCATCTTTCACCTCATCTATCCTCCAGAGGTTGGGTTCCGACACCAGCTGTGTCAATCTGTGTCGCTTCCCTTCATGTGGGACTTCCATCTTCCTCATCGTGGAATCCCTGTGGTTTCCCCACAACCTTGGGCTCTTTCTGAAGCCATACAAGGCCTTCGTCGGCCGCCACAGCGTGCCTTCTTCGACCAGCTTCATCCTGATCAGCAAGTGGGGTGGCTTCACCAACACATCCATGTCTTCCCATGGTGTGTTGAGGAACGCTGTACGGATGTCCAACGTGACTCCGTCCCACTGGTTTTCTGATGCTAACTTCATCATGATCCTCAAAGTCACTGCATCACCAGTGGACGCGTACAGTTCGTCCTGGGCATCTTTCGCCGTGAAGTTTCCACACGCCACTATTCTGGCTTTCTTCTTTCCTCCTTCTGGTGCGGGCTTCACCACCGTCACCAGCTTTCCTGGCACCACCTCCAGCTTTCTTCCTTCGGCGTGTGCCTCCCTGAACATCTTCTCCACCTCCTCCTTGGAAATGGCTTCAAGGGCCATCTTGTCTTCCACCAAAGACTTCAGTTCTTCTTCGATGGGCTTCTTCCATCCTTCAAGGTCTTTCATCACCTCCCCCAGGCCCACGATCCTCGTCTGAAGAACGTCTTCACTCGTGCCCGTCTCCATCATCATTCGGAGTTTGGCCACAGACTGCATCGTCGTCTTCAGGGCCTCTTCTGAGGGGTCTTCCATCAGAGCTGTCATCTCCTCCATGATCAGCTGCAAAAGTCTTGATCTTCTTCTGGGTTCAGGGTCTCTCCCCTCTTCCCCTGGTTCGTCTTCTTGAACCTCCATCTTTGCCAACTCTGGTGGCGTCTTTCTCCTCAATCTTCTTTCTTCAAGTGGATCTGGCATCTCTGTCATGACTGCCAGCCACGAGTGGTCTGTCACGGGGTTCCACACATCAGCTATGCAGAACCGGGCTACGATGGTCGTCCCATCTTCTTGCTTCACCCAGTGACCGTGACCTTCCCAACATGGAGCGATGTATGTCACTCGGTCCATTGTTGGCAGGAACTGTTGCGCGTTCCACCTTCTCTTCTTGACCAGGACTTCAGCTCCCAGTGGTGGAAATTTCTGCTTCAGTCCACACCTCCACATGCGCAACTGTTCGTCGCAGTGGCGCGCTGCAAGTGGCCATTGGTCTTCGGACCACCCTGCTTGATGCAGCAATCTTCTTATGTGTGTCTTCACTTGTTGTACGGCATTCTCTGCTCTGCCGTTTGATTGTGGGTTGCTGACACCCGTGAATGTTCGGATGTATCCTCTTGCCTTCATCCATCTTCTCATGGCATCTGAGGTGAACTCACCTCCGTTGTCGGAGTGGACTTGGGAAACATCAAATCCATCTGACCTGAGCTTGAGGATCATGTCGATGACTGCTTGGAGGACTACTCCCCCCGCCTTCGAGGGCAAGGGAGTCACCAGTCTGAAAATCTTGATTTCAAAGTCCTCTGGCTGATCCACCTCCTCCTTGGCTGCTTCTTGTGGCTCCTGGGGGTTGATGGCTCTCTCACCACCTTGGGGCTCCTCAGGGTTACCAGGGGGGTCTTGTTGGGGATCCTCCTCTGTGTGTTCTGCTTCATCATCAGCCTCTCCTTCACTGTCATCGATCCTCAGCCCTTCGATCGCATCCACCTCCTCTTCTGGAACTCTCTCATTCCTTTTGTCTTCTAGAGGTGAATCCTTTGGTGCAAGCCATGTGTACGCACCCACCAGAAGGAATCTCATCTTGTTTCCCATCAGGTCCTCACCCTTCACTAGTGGGCCTGTGGTGTCCACCGACAACACTCCCGCTCTTGGGAATTGTCCCTTCTTGGCGTTCAAGCGCCGGTGTGGAGCGGACTTAGCCCCAGACTGCTGGCATATCTTGCAGTCTCTTCTAAACGGGACGTGTCCATGCTTCACATGTTGTTCCCATGACATGGGCCTTAGCTGGACGGGTCTTTCTTGGCACTTCTTGACCACTTCCTTCGCCAGCTCTTTCATCAAACCCGGCACCCATCGGCTCAGGCTCTTTGAGTCTTGGACCCTGTCTTGGGATCTTCCTTTGGCTTCTGGGTTCCTCTCTTCTGGAACCTTGATCTCGACGTTCCCGCCGATCGTTGTGGGCTTTATGCAGCCTTTGCCGCCTTCTTCTCCTTTCCAGTCTCCCTGGTTGAACTTGATCTCTTGCAGATCGTACATCTCTTTCATCTTTCTCCACTGGTCCGTCCACCAGAAGGAGACCGTCTTTGGGAGGTACTCAGGAGCACTCAGCTGCTCGAGAGCCAGGATGATCTTCTTCCATCCCTCTCCTCCTGTCTTCTGTTCTTCTGTCTTGGCGTCTCTCTTGATGCCTTCTTCTTTTTCTTCTTCGTCCTTTGTCTTCTCGACGTGGACTGCCAGGACGTACAACAGCAGCGTCCTGAAGAGCATGACATCGTCCTGCCACACCTTCATCTTCTCATCTTTTCGCAGGTCTCTCCTGCCAAATTCTTCACCACCCCACTCTCGAAGTGGCCTTGGCCCATGACACTCTGGTGTCATCCTGTAGTTCCTCAGCACTGATCTTGTGCGACAGTTTGGGCCTGCTAGGATCCCTCTGATCCTGTTGTCAAATGCCAACCTCAACAGTGTGGCATACGGATCTGAGCTCATCAGGTCATGCCCAGGTCCTCTCTTCTGATCCAGCTCTATCAGAGTCTGGACATCGCCGCCTGCACTCTTCACTGCCTGGCCCAGGGTGAATCCGTCGTCCTCCCCCGCGAACAGGTGCAGAGTGGCTCCTTCCCTTTGGATCTTCCGTCTTTGTCTACGGTTCATCCCTGGAAGGGCTGTCAAATCCTTTGATGGCATCACCACCAGTTCCTTCTTTACCTCCTCTGGCAGGTCTCTGAAGACCGGATGAACGGCCACCATCTTCTTCAAGACATCTTCTTCGTCTTCTTCTTTGGTCTTCATCTTCTTCATCCATCCAGACTTCTCCTCAAGCTCCTGGATGATGTCTAAGGCCAGTGGTCTTGGGATGTGAGGGCATCCTCCTCTTTGTGTTGTGTCCAGTCTTCCCCTCTCTGGGTGAACCACGACAAGGCCTCCCTCATCCCATTCCACCGTACAGCCGAGCTGGCTGACCATCTTTCCAAGTGGAACGATTGGCTCTGTCTCCTCATGTTGGCCAATCATTGTTCCTCCTCTTGTCATCTTCAGTGTGGCGTCTCTACCACAGGCCAACGTCACTCGGACCTCTGTCAAGTCCTTGAGTGATTCTCCTGGCTGTCTTCCTCTCAAGGCGTGCGTCGCGCCAGAGTCTAAAAGACCATAGTCTCCTTCTTCTGTGTGGATCTTGGAGATCCTGAAGACCTTCAGGGTCTTGAGTTCATCAAGCTGCTTCTGCAACTTTTGCAGCCTGACCTCCTTCCCTTCGTCTTCTTCATTCTTTCCTTGTTGCAAGGCCTTCAACATCTTGTTGGCCTCTTCCAGCAGTCCCTTCATGGCTTCACTGCTGTCTCCTTCATTGGAGCCTTCCTTGGCTACCTCTTCTTTCTTGGTGGCTTCCTCTTTCTTCACCACCTTTGCCGTCGGCTTCATACCTTTCCCCTCCCAGGGTTTTCCGCTCTTTTCCGGACTTCCCTCTTTGTTGGGTTCTCGGGGTCTGTCACACGCTGGTGCGTAGTGCTGCGTCGAGCCGCAATTCCAGCATCTCTTCTGGTCGTCAAGGTTGTGGGCCCATCTGCACCCCTTTCCCTTGCGACATCCTTCTGTCGTGATGAAGAACTTGCAGGGGGCTCTCTCACCTTTCCCTGACTTACCTTCACCTTTTCCTCCTTCTTCAATCTTCCTGACCTTCACCTCTGGCTGTGCTTGCTTCTGCGTGTCCTTGCTGGTGCTCTTCTTGCTGCCTTCAAGGTGTGCTATCTGCTCCATCTCAGCCAAGAGGTGGGTCGAGAACTTTCCCACTGTGTCTTTCGTGGGGGTAGAGTCGACCTGGAGCATCGACCTGGCCAAGCTGATCCTGAAATTCAGCTCTCTGTTAGCCTCCAAAGGTCGGCGGACGATGCGTCCCAAGCCTTTGAGCAAGAGGAAGGGATCAGGCTCGCTCACCTGAAGCTCCATTGCTCGTCTCCTCCATCTCATCCACTTCCTCAGTGAACTCACTGCCTCTGCCACTGTTGCTGCTTCCTGTGGCATCTCCAACGACCTGAGGATGACCTCCTTCTCAGCCAATCCTCCAGGCTGAAAGGTCGTCAAGAGGTGGCAGATGATCTTCAGAGCTGTGATCCTCTTCGTCGACACCAGCTCCTCCTTCTGGGCTTCAGGGATGCTCATCATGAGCAGTGTGGACGCCCTTCTTTCTAGGCGGATCCACTTGGGCTGGTCCAAGTCTTTGGAAGGCTGTGGCTCGTGTGTCAGCCTGTCCATTGGACTCAGAGCCATGTGGTCTTGGTACCACTGTCTTGCTTCTTTCAGCAGCCTGTCCCACCAGTCGTGTGAGGTGGCTGTGAGGTCTGCCATGATTGGCTCAATCAACGCCAACCAATCGTTCAGGTCTATCGGACCTGTCGAGGGGTTCCAGTCCGTCAGTCTTGGCACTTCGGGGTGGCTTCTGACATACTCTGCTTCTCCCCCCTCTCCTTCTTTTCCTCCATCCTTGGAGAGCATCTTCTTCTGCATCTCTGTCATTGTGTGCATCATCATTGCCATCAGCTGCAACGTTCCTGGGGTCTCCTCTTGCCTTGAGGAACCTGCAGCTTCTGTCTTCAGGGGTCTTGTGGCCTCTCTGGCCGTTGGGGGTCTTTCAGCCTCGGGCTTTGGGGGTCTGTCAGCCTCCTTAAGCTCGTCTTGAAACAGCTTCTTGGCTGTCTGGCTTTCTTCTTCAGGGGTCCTATACTGGACATCTTCATCTTCTATGGCGTTCTGGCGCCTCTCATCATGCCTCTCTCGGCTTTCATCTCTTCCTTTGTGTTGCAGCAGTCTCTGCAACTCCTCCTCATGCCTCTCTCGGCTCTTTTCTCTTTCTTTCTGTTGCAGCAGTCTCTGCAACTCTTCTCCTCTCAGGAGCATGGTCCTCTCCATCTCCAATTCTTCTTCTCTTTTTCTCAACCTTTTCAACTCCTCCTCTCTCAGAGTTTCAGGTCGCATCTCCTCAAGTGTCCTCTGTTGGACTTGGGGCGGGTTCAGCATCGGTGCCTGACTCCGCAACTCTTCATATCTCCTCAACTGCTCGTCGTCGAACAGCGGTTGTGGTTCTGGCTGGTTGGCTGGTCGGAGCGTGGTCGGGCTGGTCTTGGGTCCCCCAGGCCATTGGGGGCTGGTCTCAGGTGCTCCTGAGGGTCTGTGAAAGGGGGTCTGGGCTGCCGATGCCGTTCTTCCTCCTCTCTCTTCCCTTTCTCTTGTGGAGCTTGTCGGGGGTTCTGCTTGCCGGGGTGTCTCAACCGGGGTCTTCGGAGTCTTCCACTCCTTTGCGGGGGTTTCCTCCTGCCATGGAGTTCTCCCCATATCATCTTCCAAGGTTGGCTGTGAGGGCGTCTTCAGGAATTCACCTCCTTGGCTTGGTGTTCCCTTTCCCCTCAGCGCCATTTGGTCTTCTTCTTGCCTCTTATCTTCCAGGGCCTTCATCTGCCCCCCCCTTCAGCACTTCCACCTCCTGGTCAGCCTCTTCTTCAGCCACGTTCTCTCGCAGAGTCTTCCTTCTGCGCTCCAGCATGGCTTGGGCTCGTAACCTAGTGGTCACCGGCCACCTGAACCCCCCAGCAGCGTCGGCCTAGCGGGTTTTCCTGGGCCTGTGTCGTTTCGTCTGCCCTTAGTCTAGGGCCTGAGTTTCAGTGGCTACCATGCAGGGGATGTCAACCCTACATGAAAACTAACATGTTTGGAAAACAGCATGGGGTATGAGCACGTGTCAGCAAAATCAACCCAACCCGCGTAAAGTCAACCCACCACATGTGCACGCGCATTGAGTGTGAAGTCGACACACTTGTGAAAAGTCAACCCTGTTTGAGCAAAACACCACGTGCACACCACCAAACACGGCTCCAGCTCAACATGCTCGATTTGCTCGAAGCATGGCGCACACTGAGTAAACGCTGGATTTGCACGAAACAGAATCTGAACGTAGCACGCGCGAGCCCTACGCGACCCCGCGCGAGCCCCGCGCGAGCTCCCAGAACCCCAGCCCCCAGCAGCAGCAGCAGCAGCAGCAGCAGCAGCACCAGCAGCAGCAGCAGCAGCAGCAGCACCAGCAGCAGCAGCAGCCCGGTACTCCCAACCAAAGATCTGCAGACGCTGCAACACAGATTTCCTTTCTTCCATCTAAGCCACAATTTTGCAACCACAAGCACAACATATCAATCACGGCAAGGCAATAACAATATTCAAGCAAAAATCATGTAAAACACTGCGTAAATCAGCTTACATGTCTGTATACATCCCATTTGCTGCCAAATCCCATATGGGACAAGACATGAGAAATCAACATGGCCAGAAATAGCAGTTTGTCATGCACTTCCCATAGGGCACACCACTTCGAGTCGACTTTACTCAGGACGAGTCGACTTAACGTATACCTGCCCAGTACTTGAAAACATTCGAAAATGAGAGGCTTTGCAGCTTCACCCATAAACACCGACGCTACAAGAAAACCAGAGAATCGAGACGAGACATGTTGGAAGCTCAAAACGAGCGTTTCGTGCGAGACTTCCTCATATTTCAGACTTTGTAGCGACAAAATCGACGTTTTCCTACGAGTTTTCTCATGGGCCTCAAAATTTGCTACCTCAAAATCGATGTTTCGTGCGAGGCCGCAAGGCCTCCCTCAATTTTCATCATACGTCACAAAATGCAGCGCCTGCCACGGAATTTGCACGTTGCCACCACTTGACGAAATGACGATGGAGCTCTCCAAAGTGCTGCGCCTGCCACGAAAATGCAACTCATCTTCTGAAAATGATGCAAAAGTATTGCACCTGTCAAACAAAACGACTTTTGACACATTTTGAAACACGTTTAGATGTCACAGAAGTTACGCGAAGTAGAAAACTCCCAAAAGTGACCGCTTTGCAGAACTCGCCATAGGCACGGCCATAGCGACCTCACGCGAACGGTTGCGGACGCAAACGCAACGTCGAGCGAACACACCCTCAACCCCCAGACCCCCAGAGTGAAACGGGAACCCTTGCTACGCATTCAGGAAACTAAGGAACATAATATGCAATATGTTTGTACATGTACACAAAACTTACGTATACTCCTTCAATTGCACATGCCAAGACAGGCTTCAGCTCTTGCCTTGCTTTTGAGGCCTCTGCGATCCCGAGCAGCGAGAGCGACTGAATCCAACGGAGGTCTCTCCTAAGTCTGATCATTCCGTCCAGACAAGCCAGTCTGTTGTCAGTGTGTTTCTGCTTGAGGTCCTCTCACCCATTTTGGAATGCAAAAATCTCAGAGATGTCTTTAGTTCGCTCCAATCGGTCTAAGTAGCAGCGCAAACCTCCAGCAAGGTCTCAGTACTCTACCTTCTATTTCTATGTATGTATATATATATAGTCTCAATTCTCCGCCTTCGCTATAATATGTTCAATAATCTCAAGATTCTCAATAGTCTCCATGGTCTCAATAGTGTCAATAGTCTTCGTGTCCCTCTTTCAATGTCATCCGAAGCCTTACCAAGGTAAGTGCCCTGTCTGGAGAATCTCTGTCGGGACGCATGGCGAAGCTTGCAAAGCTTGACCGAGCTTCCCAGGTCCTGCAAGACCAATGCCTCTCTTTGATCCTCTTTGATCCTCTTTGATCCTCTTTGATCCTCTTTGGTTTGTGACATGCTCCACTTTGGTCTGTGACATGCTCCACTTTGGTCTGTGACATGCTCCATTCACCAAAGTGATGCTTTGTGATTGTGACATATTGTGACACTGTGATGCTTTGTCATCTTTGTCCAGGTCGGCAAACTTTCAGCGAAAGGATAGAAGGCCAAACCTGCTCAAATCAAGAAAACAGTGCAAAATTCCGCAAGTCAAAGCTTGGTTTTAGATTGTGTGGCATGAAGCAACCCACCAAGGTCTCAGAATTTCAACTTCAAAGCGCTCAGGCTCTGGCTCAGAGGATTGTCACGAAGGTCCAGGTGCCTTGGACAAACTGGTGCTGTGATGTGCTGTGCCTCTCTTCAAAACAGGCAAAGCTCATTCCTCAGCCAGGCTGTGATTTGAGGCACAAAACTGATCATATGAGGCATATGAGGCATTCGCTCCAGGGCCAAACCTCCCATTTCCATGGCCTTTGCAACATCCTAGACGATTGACACACAGTTTGTCACTACTAGCTGCCTAGCTTTGTCAGTGATTCTACTCACCATTGATTTTGTTTCGAGTGAGTTGCTGTCAAGACCACAAAGTTGAGTGTGTTTTCTTGATGGTCCTCCACATCATGAATCTCGTTGCCTCAGCTTTGAATGTCTGGCCCCAGCCCTGCGCTGAAGTAGAAAGCACAAATTGGGCGCTGTCCACTTCGGGCTCAGAAAGGCCGAAACACTCTGGGAATTTCTGGGGTTCAGATAGGTCCCTGGTCCAACTCTGACTTCAAGTCCTCCCTTTAGCCTCTGGGGTGATGGCCATTTAAAAGCAAAACACGTAAGGGTCGCAGGGTCCAGCGCAACGATGGCCTCGGTGGGCATGCTAAAGGCTGCTAAAGGCTACAAAGGCTACAGACCAAATGGCAAAAAGATACCAAATCATTCCTTTCTCGCAGCGACATGCTTCATCAACCGAATATTTCACAAATTAAATATGTATGGTCAGTCTATCTACATTTTGGATAGAAAGAGCAATTCACTCCTGAGCCATGCTGAGTCATGCTGAGCGTCTCCAGGGCACGGATCTTGTTATGAGAGGCGTCCAAGAAGGTGAGACAGCGCAGAGCTGAAAGCTGAACTGCCAAGACGAGCTTACGAAAGAACAAAACCGCTTTGAAGGTCCCTCCTACCATCCCCACTCAGTAGAGCACGATGTTTCTTTGCATTGTGCCGATCCCTCTTGTTGGTATACGTTTTTGCATTTGCATGTATATTACTACATATAATATTCTCTACATCAATATCAAGATGCAAGCCGGATTGCGGGCCTAGCGAAGTGAGCTGATTGGTGCGAAGGACCTCAGTCGATGGTTTAAAGTTCAACCCATGGTTGACGATGCAATCAAGTGTTTCTCTTCAAAGCACCAAGCCAAAGAAACTAGTCGAGGAGCTCCAGCAAGATTGAAGGCCTCTTCCAACAGTTATCTCCCACATGAATGAGGAGGAATGTCACAATTGCAGAAGCTCATGCTGTCCTGAGAAAGGCTGTTGGATGCCAAATCTAGCTCTGTCAAAAAGGGCAATTGCACCTGATGCTGAGCGGAACCGCAAACTACAACTTGCTGACAGAAAAAATAACAATCACGTGAAATCCATGAACCCACTCAACGTGTGATCCAGGGGAATGCACTATTTGGCTTGCAGCTAGTGCGCGACAATTGTGCTGAAGGTTTTTGCAGGACATTGCTCTCCAGCACTTTTTGGACAGTTTGTGGAAAGGTCGTCCATGCAATCTACCTGCAATGGACGTACAACACCTTCAATCAAAACTTTGTAGAAGAAACACGCTTGCAAGACTATTATGCAAGAGTATTCTCCACCCAACAGTGTCTTGCGAGAGTGTTCACCAAAAGCGCCCACGCTGGGTTACAAGAGTCTCATTCAGACATGGTATGCAAGAGTGTCTGTCAACTGCGCTCCTCGCACAATTTGTACAAGAGCATGCACGAGTGTCCATAATAGTGCTTGTTGCAAGAGAGTGCTGTGCACTTGAGAAAGCATTTTCCAAGAGCATCCTTCAGCAAATTGCACATTTTACACGACATCCTGATATCTGATAATGTCAAGTTAGGATTAATAAACCCGTCGGTATTAATCAACCCCCTCTGCCAAAAAAAAAATGTAATTTTAAAACAGGTGGTCCCCCAGGATTAATAAACCGTTTGGCTAGGAAATGATTAATCAACCCCCTGTGCTGAAATCCATTTTTTTATCCAACAATGTTTATTTCCAATTCTATTTATGTTCAATTGTTTTTTTACCTTTTTTTATCATCATTGTTATACTTAAGGTTTAAGTTGATCATTGAAAATTTCAAAAAACAACTATTCCCAAAATGATCGATTTCTAATTAAATTCTTTATAAAAATCATCAGCTTGGATAGCTCCCAAAGGGTACCCCCCATGAGCCCATGTCCCCCATTAATAATAATCAGGGTTTGCCCCTGATTAATCAACCACCATGTCCCTAGTGTTTTTTCTTTGGATTTGCCTATTCATTCCCAATGTCCCCCATAGCTTTCAGCCAATTGACGTAAGCCATATCCAAATTTCTATGGTTCAGAGGCCGTTTATTTAGGGAGGATTCAGGAAAAACCTTGCAAGGTATACCCTGACCTATTAGGGGGGGTTGATTAATCCGATGTTGGCATTACAACACTACGACTTGTACGATCTTGTTGAACTGCCCTTTTTCGGAGCAGCTTTGTAGAACACAACTGCAAACTGTTTTTTTTTGCAAATCAAAGCATTCTGATGCACGCACTTTTGGAACCCTTCTGGAGGACACTCTCGTAGAACATGTTGGCAGAACTGAAATCTCCACAGCTTTGCATTGCATTTTTGTCTGACATACCGTTTTTCTAAAATTTATATAAAGTAATGCTCGTGCGGGACATTTATACGAAACACCTTGGTACCAATACAATGCGGCTTGGATAGAACACTATCTGAGTCAATATGGACATTCCACAAAACCTTCCAGAAACAGGTCGAAACCCAGCAGGACAGCCTTGAAAAACATTGCGAACCATTTCTGTGGCTTCTTGTGAACACCCTCCAGAATCTCTAGAACACTTTATGTAGAGTTAGTCGTATGAATTTTGCGAAGAACTAGCTGGTCCATCAACAACATAATTTTCTAGCCGGAAAATCTTGCGCAAATCTGGCAGAACATATATAATCTGGCAAGCACTGTGCTGGGTCGCTCTGCACTCTCGTGCATCGATTCTGCAAAGCACTTTATTACAGCTTTTTGGGTGTGCTTCAATCTCTGTCGACTAGAGAAAGGGCTATTGGATATACCATCCCAGCTTGCCCGCAACCCCGAGCGACGCACACAGAAGGTATTGCTCTCAGCACAACTCGCATGTAAATGGATGATCATGGCACAGATTTCATCAAATGTCTAGAGTGGGTCAGCGAGTCACAGCACGTGATTATTTCGCCACACAGCCGAAAATATCCGAAAATCACCACGCAAAGTTGCAACGCGCTGATGTTTAAGGCACACTTTTTGCACCACAAATCTGCAGGGCCCAAAATCCAGCTGAAAAAAGGAGTGAATCTTTGTGATGAGATAGCCATGAGATAGTCGAGAGTTCTTCCCTCTGCACACGCCGAAAAACAATGAAACTTATGAAACCAACACAAGCGCTTCATGCAGCTGAATTTACAATAAGTAAGATTGAATAGGGCTGAAACATGCTGAAACAATAAGCTCTTCTAAGCTCTTCTAAACTTTTCCTGCAGTTCATCCAGACATATCCAGACTAAGCTTGCCACAGCCGATATGTCGCCAATGGCATTGTGCGATAATCTCAGGGCCTCCAAGGGTTCCAAGGGAACACCGGAACCAGTCCAGTGAGTTCACGAAAAAAGCGAGTGCTTTAGCTGCCTCCAAAGCCAGTGCCAGAAAAGATGTAGCAAAAATATATATATATATCATTTATTAAATAAATAAATCATTGAATCGATTTAATATTCATTATATATAATACTTATAATATCTTATAATACATTTATTAGTTTTCAATCTGGCACTGGAGATGCCCCTCTTCTAGCTCCTAGGGCCAGTTTGACTGGGTAGACACATCGAGATTTCCATGATCTCCAAGCCACCTAGAAGGAATCTGGGAAAAGCCCAACCGTGGCCTGGAGCGAAGGATGCACTGCCACATCCTGACATGAAACACTCACTGGTCATAGGAATCGTCGGAATCGTTCAATTCCTATGAGTGTATACAGTATACATCAGTATACACATCATGTCGTGCGACTCATTTGGGTCATGCGGGTCATGCGTCGCCGACTTTGGGCACAGCTTTGTAACATTGTATTAAGACTCACCTTTTGCGCAACCTTTGAGTATTGCTCAATGTGTTGCTCGATAAGTCCTTGCAGCTGAGCAATGCATTGCCATCGAGAATTAACTCGGTCAGGTAGGGCAACGCCTGTCGAAGCTTTGCAAAAATAGCCCACAAAGTTCAAGCTGCATCAGCTGCATCAGCTGATGGCGTTTCGTACGGTAAACCGTTTGCATCTCCACCAGTGGACATTCCAGCTTGTACAGGCAATTCATGGGCCTGTAGACCAGATACTGACTGCAAGCAACAGCTCCGGAGATCAATCACCTAAGAAAGGCATTCCAGTGTCTCTCTCTCTCTCTCTTGAGCAAATATGCCCTTGCCATCACATGCCATCTACGTACACTAGCGTACGCTGCACTTCACAGCTGTATGAAAACCCTGACATGGCAGACTTCACAAAATTGCTGCAAACAAGAAGCCTCCAGGCTGCAATGAACACATTGAAGGGCGGTTGCGGCCAGGCTTGCTGCTGTCAAAACGCGCAGCCTGAGTGAAGACAGTAGCTTGCATGGTCAAAGAGGCACTATGAACCGATTCAACCAATCCAGGTTCTGCAAAAATTAAAAAGATCGTTAGAAGGCCCCTTCAACCAACAAGCACTGAAATATACTGAAAGAATTGGCTCCTGCACAGTTTGCACTTGACAACACAGTCCCGGGCACTTGCAGCGACATTGTAGCAGTCACATCGTTCAGAGGGTTGGAGGAAATATTAAGCTCCTCTCCGTCCGTGCTCACAGTATTAGAGACAGCTTGGATTCGGCCGGAATCACGAGCTCAAAAGGAAGTGAACAGAAACTCTTTGTCCATCCTTCTTGTCCTTCGTTCTAATGCCTCCCCAATCCAAAAACGTAATTTTATTTGTTTGATGCATTTTGACACTGCACAGGCAGTCTTCAGTCACCAGCCTTCTGTACAGCACTATGTAAGATTTTTAAGCTGCAGACCAAGTCTATACTTATATAATTATATATATATAATTCTATAACTTACATAGTATGTTTGGAGCACTCAGAAAATAGGAAAACTCCTCGAGTGCAGGGAAAGCGTGCCCCTGTGAAGCGAGCGCAGGAGCCTGGCAGTCATCAAGGCTCTCGACAAGCTTTCAAAGAATTTCAAGACTCGACCCAGGCAAGGCTTCCATACTGCTTCCACATCAGCACCAAACCCATGGTGCCAAACATAGGCAGGCTACTGAGACCAAAGGAGAAAGGTCTCGGACATGATTCCTGCAGGAAACAATAGACAATTCAAGTATGTTCCAACAAAGAAACAAGTTGGCTCACTTTGCCTTGAAATGTTGAGGACCCGAAGGGCAGGCAGTGCAGCTAAGGGCGCCAATGCAGCTTCGTCTAGCCTCAAGAGGGCGAAACATGGTGCGAGCCAACATCTCTCAAACAAATAGAATTCCATGCTCATGCTGCAGGCAAAAAGTGTGCTCAGTGTATCGTGACATCATGAATCATATATGTATATTCATATATTATATTATGATGTATGATTAAATTTGATAAATGAATGCAAATGGATATACATACATGACTCTCAGTGAATAATCTGAAGAAATATAGAAATGTGGAGAACATGTTGGATGCCGTTCAATTTCCGTTCAATTGATTGTGGTGTTGGTTTCCGGCTTGTTGGCCGCTAAGTTCACCTCCACGAGCGTCAGGCATTCCACAATCTTGGTGCTCCAGTTTCTCGGGTGAGTGAAATTGAGTTACTTAATGAATTCTTGATGTTACTTAATTACTTAATGCATCTTCAATCCTCTTCATGCCACTTGGGCAAACTGGCATTGTAAATTGTAAAGTGATGTGAACTGAGAGCGAGACAGAACCTAGGTTCTTCAAACGGTTGCTGCTGATTGAAAGAACCTCACTGCAGCCAGACACTTGGGATGTGGGCTGTTTGGGTTCAGCACTCAGGTTGCTGGTGGAACCCAAATGATCGGATGGTACCCAAGTGCTACCAAGTGCTACCGTGCTACCTTGATTTCTGGCGGAATCTCTGCAATCTTCCGGATCCCAAGGCCATCCAGTCGCAGCTCCGTTTGAGCCTTAGCACAGCTCACAGCCCAGCACAGCTCACTGTAAAGCACTGCAAGCACTGCAAGCACTGCAAGCACTGCAGCCACGCCATGCTCCAAGGCCCCCGCCATGCCTCAAATCGTTTCTTCGACATCTGCACCGAATTCCATGCAGTTAATAAGTTAAAAGCGAAGAGACCATCACCAATATCAAATTGCATGCATGACGGCTTGCACCTTGCTCCTGGATCTAAAGGCTTGCAAAATGCTTTTGTTTGTGTCAAAATGATTGTGTTTGTGTGTCTTGTGTTTGTGTCCTATGTTTGCGTGTGTGTGTGTGTCTGCGTGCATTAGCATGTCTGTGAAAGACAGATTTGGTCACCTGCACTCTGGCGGAGTAACATGCCAATGCCTGGTACCACATGTCACATACGTTGCAGCGGTGATGTGATGTCAATCTATTTCCATGTTGGAACGTTATACCCCATGCGCTTCTATTCCCTGGAGCAAGACAATGTATCTAGTATCAAGGCAAAAAAAAATCTGTGCATGGACCAAACAAATTGTCACATGTCTGTGACTTGCAAGCTTGGGCTCTTCTACACCCCACGCACTTCGATGCAAATTTTGTCACACACACACCTGCTTCCTTCAGTTTAAATTGAGTAAATTGGTGGACATTAGCAGCATCAGCAGCATTCACCTTCTGAAGTGTCGGTCTCGTTCTCCCACTCCACATATGCACATTTTGACCACTTGTCAAAAAGCTCCTCCAACTCCTCAGAGTATCGGTCCATTCTCTTTTCTGTCTTCGTCACGATCTTCATAAAAACTCGTTCCATCGTGCCCTCGTTCAAGTACCTCCGTGCATTCTCACAGTGCTGCCAGAAAAAGCCAAAAAAAAAACAGAGTCTCAAAGGTACATCAACCTATGAAAATGCTAATGCTTTTTCCTTCCAGCCTCTCTTTGAACATCAAGTACTCGAGAACCCGGAGGGTGTAACACAATGTCAGTACTGCGACACAAAACGCAGTTGAAAGGAGCGCCCGCTGTGAAACCGTTGTCAATATCTTAAAGTGAATGGTATTGAAGAACCACATTGACAGGCCAACAAGCAGGACGTAGTTCAGCAAAAATCGAATCAAAGCTTTTTCCGCGTCGTAGATGTAGTACGGATTTCTTGCAAACCGTGCAGTTGGCTCGCAGTACCATTCGTAGACCATGTTCCACAAACACGTGTGCACACCAAGTAGCATCACAGTACGGGCAACGAGCAAGATCAACCACATCAGAGATGCTGAGTCTTGATCCTTCCATTTCACAAAGTCTTCACCCATTCCATTCCCAAAGAATTCAACAAAGGCTCGGCCAACAGCATAACCTGAAGGGCAGGCCAAGTTTCATCAAAAGTTGCCTCATGTACCACCGTGACTACAATTTCATAGCAGTCGTAGCCCATATGTGTATTGAGTTCTTCTGTATGCCCAGAGTGCCACATGCCATCACCCAAGAATGGTCGAGCTGTTTGCGCACAGATATAGACTATATATTATACTATATAATCGAGGCAAAGTGGGCCGAACAAGATGCCTAAAAATGACTTACTGTAAATGTATAATGATAAATCGAACGCCTGTACAGTGCATGCGCATGTTTTGCATGACATGCGTGTAGACTACGAGGACTGCTTGTTAAGATTCAGCCTGATTTTTTGATTCTGTGCTGGAACTTTGTATGGCATGCTTCAACTCCTTTGTCTCAGAGTGCTTTGGCATACTTTGGACTGTGCTGCACAACTTCGGCAGTCCGGTTCTTTACAAACATCTCTCTGGTTCCATCTCTCCATATCTCTCCATTACCCTTGGCTCCATTGGAAAATAACATGACATGAAAATTTTGAATACTCTCGTTTGGATTGTACAATTCTGATGCGGGACGGCTTCTTGGAAATTGATATGGTTTTAAGTGGGTTATGGTTCGTGTCCGATATTGGATTTAAGCAAAAAAATCTTGAGGTTCAGAAATAGGTGCGGAACATCTGGAAATGCCATGAAATGCCATGGAAATATTCAACATCTTCGGAAGAGTAGCGGCATTGGGGCATACTTATTTCAGAGTTGTGTGCTGCCGTTTGTCAATGTTTCTAGCATCTGTCTTAGTAAGGGTTTTGCACCCTTGCGTTGCACTTGCACTGTGGAAGCTCCTTAGGGGCTGTGGATGGGCTATGGCTGCTGCGCGCTCATGGGGCGGGCGCATCTCACTGACAGTATGATTTTTGTATGCATTTGCTCTTCGGTGCTCTGGCCAAACTGTGGGAAACATCTCACAAGCAGTTTGGTTTTGCACTTTTTTGCACAAGCTCGAACGAAGGGGGAAAGTATCTCACAGGCACTTTGTTCTTGCACCGACCTGCTTGCGGAAATCACAGCGTAAAAACATCTCAGGATCACTCAATGACTCAATGTGTCTTTCACATCCGCGCATCACAGCCACGTTCTATGTGGAATGTCCAGTCACAACATTCATCTTGAAACTGTGCTCGCTTTGCCTAGCCCTAGAATTGGATTTTTAGTTATCGTTCGGTTTTCATTCAGGTTATCGTTCAGGGCAACAGCCACGAAACAGAAAGTGCACGTGCTAACGTATTAAAGAAAGACCTTTCGTTGCTCTGTATGGCTGGCTCCACATGACTACAGGCTAGCCAGGAATGATTTCCACAATGGCGGTTTTGCTGAGAACGCAAAAAAAGTCCACACCATGCAGAACACAATGCAAAATGTCCATCATGACAGCACTGGATGGAGAGATTTTATCGGTCTTTGCGAAGGGTCAGCTAAATGACATCAGCAGGGATATCTTAAGTAAAAGGTTGTGATTATCAGTCTATGCGCGGGGTCAATAAAAACAATAGCTAATTAATGCTAATTATAAGGTTCTACTATCGTTCACTGCGCAGGGCCAATCAAAATTGAAAAGGCAAGCACTTCAACAGCTGCAATTAGGTGCAGGACGGCTTCTTGCGACGAATACTAAAAAAGTGGTGGGGACAGCAATATCTCAAAACCCTGCAAAAACGCAAATCCGGGTTTTTGATGGAACTCATGTGATTTTGTTTGAGCTCACGACGCCCCTACCGGCCCTGGGGAATATGACACTTTTTGCTGTGCATGTCAGGCTTGTTCACGTCACTTCAAGTTTTTTTGGTGTCGCTTTGCCCGCTAGTTAGAAGTATTGCACGTCAGTTAGAAGTATTGCCCGGTAGTTAGAAGTATTGCACGTCAGTTAGAAGTATTGCCCGTTAGTTAGAACTTGTGCGCGAAGGATATTGTGTTTTTTTGGGGGAACCAGGTGGGGTGGGGGGGGGGTGGGGGGGTGGTGGGGCAAGGGGTACGCTGTAACATGCCAGACGCTCTTGATGCTACGCTGCAACATGTCTCTTGTCACTTGCCAGACGCTCTTGATGCTACGCTGCAACATGTCTCTTGTCACTTGCCAGACGCTCTTGCTGCTACGCTGCAACATGTCTCAATGGCGCTGCTCGCACCCCAAAGAGAAGAAGAAATACCTTCTGCTGTTTTGGCGCTGGGCGGGAGCTCTGGAACGCGGTCAGCGCGGTCGCTTTTTGATCTCTGAGCTTCTCCATGTCATGACAAGCCCTTCTGGACGGGCTTTGGTAGAGTCATTGAATGATGTGAAATCATGTCAGTTGTTAGAACGTACATTGCCAAAGTCTCAGATTTTTGCAGATGGAAACAAATCATGGGCCAGTCACAGTAAGTCCTTGGGCCGAAAATGTTTTCAGGTCAGTCATGTCAAAATGGAATTTACGCGTAAAACGCGTAAACGCGGACACAAGACGCATGGCACGCAGTGCATTGACAAGAAATGGTCAGCCTTGAAACGGTATATCCCAAAGGAACTGTGTTCTAAGACGCCCAATGGACTGCTGAATGAAAAAAATTGCCGAGTATGTCTACAGTTTTGTCTGGCGATCCAATACACTTGGAAAGCACCAGCTCAAAGACTTAGGAAAGTTAGTGCACAAGACTTGGACTGCCTGAGCTGTTCTCCATGTCGCATGTCGTATGTCTACACGCTTGTTACAAAACATTCCAGTTTTTTGCGTTTAGGAATTCAAATTCATGATTAAACGCATTGGAAATACGACTTAACACACACAAAACACTGTAAAACGCAGACGAAAATTAGCTACTCAACAAATGGGCAGACCAAGAAAACGCTATGAGGGCCATGCGACACACAAAAATCAGCGAATGAAGAGATGAACCAACAGCAGGGCCGTTACAGGCGGCGTGACCTTGTTTGATTCACAAGAATTCTGTGCATCGAAGAACTTCACAGACGGAGCAGGCTGAGCACGCAAAGATTCTACCAAGATTCTACTGCTGATTCACCAACTCGCATGGTATTATAAGTTTAACTAAGTTTATAAGTATTTAGAAGTTAGCAGAAAGCTCTTGAAAGATTCAGAGCAGGAAAGAGAACTGCTGAACCGTGAAGCCACTTAGGTGCTCATTCAAGTTCGACCAATGGGAATGTCCTCAGTCCTCGCGCTTTGTCAACATCAATACTGTATCCATTCTCGTAGCTGCAGTGTTAGTAGAGGCACATGTTGAATTGTTGGCCCTAGGTTGCAACATTTTGTGTGAATACCACTGCTGGTTTGCTGCAACATTTGTTTAAAAGATGTTTAAACCAGTTTAAACCCATTCCAGAATCCAAACACCGCCCACAAAGCTGCCCCCCAATGGCTAGAAACCGTTTAGCAGTTGAAGGAACCCAATCGACTCTCCATCGACTAGTTTCAACATTCGATGACATTCATGGCTTATCTTCAAACAATCCATCACCTATGTTCAAACATTTAAACGTGGCCGAAGACGTGTTTACAGTAAATACATTGTAAATTTTGTAAATACTTTGAACTTTCAAACAGCTCAATGCTCAAGCGTGTTTGGACCCCGCCCTTTGTGAATTGCAGAGCTTTGTAGGAAATTGTTCGAGCCCCACCTTCAAGTGCTGGTGTAACAGCAAAAACTAGAACCCCGGCAGCTTGATGCAAGTCCTCCTGTAGTTTGTTTGCGTAAAAGACAGCTCGGTCTTCTTGCGTCAGCTTGTATCCAGGTCGTTTAAAGCGGTCAATCATAACGATATAGTCATGCGACATTGGAATAAAGACAAGCATAACGATTCCGACAACGGGAAATAGGTACCGGCTGATTTCATACGCTATCAACAGCAAGTCGTAGTTGGGCTGGACGAAATCAAATTTGGGAAATTCGCTGACCAACATAAGCAGTGCAGCAATGAGCATCAGGCTCTGGAAGATCGTACCATGTGGAGTGGTCGTCTGGTGTACAGTTTTGCTAATGGACTCTGGCAACTGCCTCAGCAAATCTTCCACGCTCATGCTGCCTGTTCTGACATGCTCTAACTCAACAATTTGTTTTCTTCCTTGATCACACACGAAAATTGCCGCGTGTGCCAGGGCTGATGCAATGATAAGACAGAGTGATTTCCAGAAACAATCCGCGAAACTAGGCACTTCCATGGCCAAGCAGTCTGACACGCTCTGACTCTAACCTCATGAAAATATCGGGAAATGTGCATCTGTGGGTTTGAGTGGGTTTGATGTAATAAACCCAAAGGCCACTAAACCCTCCTTCCCCGTGATTTAAGATGCAGTACGGGCTTTGCTTTCAAATACCTGAAAATCTAAAGTATCTGCAGTAATCCATCTCTACACGTTTGCATCTACAAATCATTCTCTGTCCTATCAGGCCTGCAAGTCATCGCATGTCCTCTGTTGAATTCTTGTCGCATCCGAAAATAGAAGAAACAACATGGCAAGAACTGCTTCAAACGTGGGATGATTGCGGTCTTTGTGCTTGAGTCAGTTGCAAAGTTTCTGTGCAAAGACAACTTTTTGCAGCGCCCTAGCACTTGTAGAACGATTCCATGGTTCAAAAGACATCTCACTGCTGCTTCAAGCAGCCATCAAAGTGTGAGCGCCTTTCAGTCCATGGGGAAAAAGAAATCGGTGGAAGCACGGCTTGCACATGCTTGCACCCTGTTCACCGACATTAGGTACCATTGACGTGAGCAAACCTCCCAGGTCCCGGGCAGTCCTTACCCTTTGCTGGAAGACAGCAGCAACAAGACTCTAAACAAAGCACGCGACAACGATATACACTGAAAAAGAATTGCCATGCATGAGATGTTTGAAGATACGTTTAAGGCTTGCGTGAATAAGCTCGATTCAATTCCTATTCCAATGCCTATGTCCCTTCGGGAACAAGGCACTTTCATCGGTGCAGCAACTATTGTAAGATATGCTGAGCTTTGCTCATGTCACAGGAAAAGACTGCATGGCTAAGAGCATGGCTGAGTGCATTGTATGGAAAGCAGGTTGCTTTTCGATACATTTTGGGAAAAAAATCTAGGAGTCAAAATCTTTCGTATTCCTTTGTGCTCCAATATTTTGGGCTCCAGTGATTGTGCTTTCTTCTGCCAAGTTGTGATTCTCTGGTATGCAGGCTTGCTGCACTCGCCATGCAGGACAACGGACTCAATTTAGATCAGACCTTAGAAAGTCAAGTAGGCCTTGAAGCACAGCGCAGCAGCAAGTGTTCACTTTCCAGATCTTTCCAGTCACTTCCAATCTTCTGCTTGCCTTTGCAAAGTGATTGTTTCAGTGCCGCACACGAAACGGAGCCTTGGTGGATTCCTTTTCACTTCCGGACAAGCACTGCACCAAGATGCCACAGCACTGATTCCAGTCCTTCGGGTGACGGCGAACGCAGTGATCAAGTTCAGAGTCGTTGAAACTTTCAGAAGAATAACTTAATTTGAATCAGTCAATGAGGGATGCGAAGATATGCCAGAAGCAAATACAGCCAACTGCTGGCCTCTGGACAGTGCCTTGCAAGCTCCATGCTCCATGCTTCCAAGTCGCGCATGAGATCCTGAGATGAATTTCATGTACAAAAAACACAAAAAAGGGCAAAAGTCTCAATTAGTCTCTGTGCATCTGTGTGACACTTCAATGATCTTTCGTCTTTCATCGCATGGTGCTGTCCTCCACTGCTTTTTCAACAGGCTCCCGCAGGCTCGGTTCAATCCATTTGTACGTGTCCTGATGGCAAACAGTCTCACTCCAGTGGGAAAGGGCAATGCTTTGCTTGGGGTGATGTTTTTTTGTTGACCAGACAAAACCATACAAAACCTATTATTTGTTTCCATTTGTGCGGGCAAAGTCGTTTACCGACTGTATTAGACAGAAATGAGAACTGCCTGCTCAGGCATTGGGCGTGTCTTTTGTTCGTGGAAGAAGTCGATACGACAAGGTCAGCAGGCCATGTCATGTGCATGGCAATTGATGCTTAAGTTCCAAAAAGAGTCAGTAAATGTTTTGAACCTAAGCTGCATTTTGTGTTAAAATTCTAAAAATGGGCTGAGATTTGGGCTGAGTGCAGGCGATCCCACTTTGGTTGGCTGTGGGGTATTTAGTCCTCTTGTATCCTTTTGTATCCATTTGTATCCATTTGTATCCTTTTGTGCTGTTTTAGTTCGTTGACAACCCTTCTTCAGAGGTTGGCCTGGACCGTGTGAAGTATGAGCTGTGTGATCCGATATCCTGAATTCGGAACACTCAGTCCTCGCTGCTGGCTCCATTCACCACCCGCTTGACAAGCATCTGCCAAGTAGCTTCCTGTGAGCTTTGAAGGTGCCCGCCTGAACATGCCCACTTTTGACTCATTGACAGCTTGCTTTTGATCCGACATGAGGAAATCTGTGGCTTGATTGTCACGTTGTGTTTATTCTTGAAATGAGTATTCACAATACCAGATCACATGTCCTCCTCAAGTTGATGAAGATATTGTTGTATAGACTTGCACATGAGAACGATGTGTGTATAATGCTTTTCTCAGCTTGCCGCACCTTGTTTTGGCGACATTGTGCCCATCAACAGCTCCTTTGTCTCTTCAAACCTTGTGAATTTCACTTTGCTGGAGATCATGAGATCTCTGAATGGGTCAAGTATGGTCAAGTCATGTCAAGTCACAGCAGTCCAACAGCTGAGCAGTATACTTTCGCATCAAGTTTGCAAGTTCAGCGTCTGCAAGCTTCTGCACAGGATGTGAGTGGCTTGATTTGACAGGTGGAGAAAGGTGGGGACTGCCAAAGAGCGAAAGAGACATTCAACTTCGAAAAAAAAACACTCCAAGCTACTCAAACTTTCTAAGTGCTTTGCAACTATTTTCCAGAGCAGGTCTCCTGTGTCATTGAGTCACAATTTTGACGTGGCGGGAAACACCCGGACGACTACTTTGCCAGTGTTGGTTCCTTCGAACAGTGCACGAAATGCACTTCCAAATGAGTCAAGACCATTGAAGACTGTCTCTCGCACTTGCACTTTGCCTTCACGTACCCATCCAGCCATGTCGTCCAAAAAATGTCCCTTTTCACCCAGGAGCCATGGTAGGCAGTGAAAGCCTTGTATGGTTTGCTCTGTATAGATCATGTTGGAAATGTAGATCTTATTCGGAGACATTTTGGCCTTGTTGTAATCTGAAATGACCCCACAAATAGCCACCCGTCCTTTCGGACGGAGGCATTGCATTGCGGCTTCGAAATGCATACCACCCACGTTCTCAAAATACATGTCTATCCCTCCGGGCGCAGCTCGTCTCAAGGCCTTTGCCAAATCTTTGGCAGACTCGCAAGCTTTGTAGTCGACACAGTGATCAAAGCCAAATTGTTCCTTCACAAGTTTGCACTTCGCAGGACCTCCGGCGGAGCCAACAACTGTACAACCAAACACATGTTTTGCCATCATACCAACCATAGATCCAACTGCTCCAGCTGCACCACTGACCCATAAGGTCTCACCTTTTTGAGGTTTCAAAATATCTATCAACCCACCGTATGCGGTGGATCCAGGCATTCCAAGCGCCCCAACACCCAGGCTGATTTGATCTTCAGAGATCAGCCCTGTCAAGCGCCGAAAGGCTTTCGCCTTCGACGCTGGCACAGCTTGAACATCAGTGTAGGGCAGCTCAGCGCCGAACAAATCACCTACTTTCCACTCAGGCATATTTGAGTCAATAATCTTACCGGCAACAAGTCCAAGCATTGGCTCTCCAGGCTTGTAATCGCCATCGGATCGGATCCTGTATCGCATGTATGGGTCTGCACTCACTGTCAAGAGCATGACAATCACACCATCTCCAAGTGTCGGCCAGGCTGATTTCTGAATCTCAAAATGCTCTGGGCCTGGTAGGCCCTCATTCAGAGAGGTTTTCAGGATAAGTGATCTTGCCATTGTGCTCGAATGACTGGAGCCAAAAGTCTGGCGGTACAAACACACATGTCAAAAAGCCAACGAAACAAGTCATGTGAGCACTCACATGTGGCGAAACAATGTGTGCTTCTCGGACATTGCCTCCGTGTCTGGGTTGATCTCAAACCTCTGATCCACTGGATGTCAGACTATTCAAAAAGACTTGCCAAGTTGTCATTTGTCTGCGAAGATATGCTCAAAAGATAGATGTCCTACAAACCTGTCAGGGAAAGAAAAAAAATAGATTTGTACCTAATCTATCCTAATCTGAATGTTTTACTATCCAAGTGTCGTCAGGCTATGAAGGTGCAAGCAGATCTTGTGGCAAGATCAAGACTTCAGTATGGCTTGAATCTGCTTTCAGCTAAAGTCAGGACCGATGTGGCAAGAGACTCTTGAAAAGACCTTGAAGTTGTGTTGGCCTTAGAGCACAAGCCTGGCATCTTCAGTCTCGCAAGGCGTCCACATACACTTCTGGAATTCGCCTTTATGCCTTCATGCGATCTTCAATATGGAATGATGCTGGCTACTGAAGCCTGGCATGTTCTGTTGAAATCGAAAAGAGCTTCGAGAATGAAGCATTTTGTGTAAAATTACAATCGGTGTACAATCAGTGTACAAGGCTACAGAAGCGATGCTGCGTGTACAACTACTGTGTGTTCCCATTTCTTCGATCCTGGCTTGTCCAAGAATCTCAGCCAGGCCAGCCTGCACGAATAAGATTTGGGCCCAGGGTAAACGTTCTCAAATTGCTCTGAAAAGCCCTGGATGCTGTGAAAAACACAAACATGTAATAGTTAGTACCTTTACATGTGCATGTTTGTCTACATCTCCATCTGTGAATGTGTATGTATGGTTGCATATATGTTATACCATAATTACACACAGAACGTGTATATAATGTGTATATATATATTATCAGACATCAAACATGAATCATTGCATAAAATCCGCACACTCACCCAGATGAAGGACGTTGTGACGGAGGCGCGAAGAGTTGTGAGCCTCAGTACCTAGCCTTTGGTTTAGGTGTTGGTTGGGAAGGCCTGGACTCCCTATGACATGGAAAGTTTACTTTTCCGCATTGTTACATATTTCGGAAGGTAAACCAAAGTTGGAGCTAAAACGGTGTCAATACTTCCCTATTTGTTTGCGTCTGCAATTCGCGATTTTCCATGTGGGATGCAGAAACATCGCAAATACTTAGCTTTCAAAAGCACTGTGAATTAGTACATAAATTACTCTTGTTTGCTTTTTGAAGCACGCATTTACAGGTCTTTGCACATTTCTTGGAAGTTTTGAACGAAAAACGAATGCAAATTGCTGGCTTATTTATATTTGTGAGTTTCCTTCTGCTCCCTCCACTTTGGTTCCGAAGCTTATTGCTCAGCTATTACTCCATGTTACTCCTTCGCTTCTGATTTGGCACCTTCACGCGCTTTGCGCAATTAAGCTGATTCCATCTGACTAGTTTCCCTTTTGGAACCATGGCTCTGCCTTGGCATGACCATAAACATCTCCACATCACACTCTTCGCACATTTGTGCCAATGCCTGGCAAACACCGGAAACATCCAGAAACATTTGGTTTTCGGTGGCTCTGACATGATTTCCCTTTGGCCTTCTGATGACAGTGCGAGGCATACAGTAGATCAATTTTGACGCTGAATGTTTGGCCTTTTGCTTCACCAAATTTATGACTTTACCAAATCAAACACGAGTAAGCCGAGTAAGCAACTGGGACAATCCGTTGAGCTGATCGAACTTCAGCGACTAAATCACACACCTCATAACAGTCACACCGGTCACAAACAAATTATATAGATAAATTAGCTACATCTGCTTGATATTGCTTGATGACTTCTCCTGAGCATTGGGCAGCAGTCAACATCTTTTCTTGTTGCACATAGCGAGTTCCTACCTGGAACAAAGAAGCAATTACTCGAACCAAGTGGTACCTTTGGAAAAAGACAGTCTGCAACGTAATCTGGCTAGAGAAGGGAAACCCAACTTGCTACAGTAGCCTGCCTCCCAACTTTCCTCCCAGTCGACTAATCTTGCGACCAAGCCAGCATTGTTGCCTGGTGAAACAAGGGCTGTCAAAAGGGAACAAGGCTGGCCCTTCGATTCACACTGACTCACCAGACTGACTCAAATGGTGACTCACACAGTGACTCCTTCTTACCAACCCTGCCGGTCCAAAATCATAGAAAGAGCTAGGACTATCCTGGCGCTATCCTGGCGCTCCTATGCTGTTCAAACCCTTGGCGGTGCTCCCCCACACTGGTTGTAAGACTGTTGCATAGATGCGGATCTACTCGCTCAAGGCAGCGACCTACCTGCAAGGATCAAGTGGCTCTGACTGTAGCGACAAAAGAAGTACACAAAACAAAACAAACCTAACATCTCCAAAAATCTCCCAATACCTCCCCTGTCATATCCAAACTCCCTAAAGTTGTGTTGATGCGTTTGAAGAATCTTGCAGTGTCAGAAGAGGTCTGGATTTGCAACCTTCCTTTCATCATCATTCAAGTCTCTACAACATTTTCCAATCAAGATAGTCAGCTCCATGTCACACCTCCCATTAAGCTAGCCCTGTCCTCACGCAGGTACTCACGCATAGCAGTAAAGGAGTCCAAGACATCCTTGGCAAGTATCCTTGCAGCGGCAAGCTTCTCTGAATTTTCGCCACCTGGCGCGGGCCACAAGAATCTGATTTGCTGATGAAGAAGTTCGCAAACTTCTTCACCTCACAGATTGAGGATATTGTGTTTGAGCACCAACTGAGCAGAGTCAACAGAGTGCCTTTTTCTTGATCATCACAGCGGCACAACCTTTGCACGGTAAGCTTCAGTAAGTCACATGATGTCACATGTTTGTTGAGCTGAGCTACTTGAGGCTACTTGTTTCATCTTGTTTCACAAGATCACCAAGAACTTCCAAGAACCACACGTTTGGATTGCATCAAGTAGTACTTCCATGCCCAAGTCATCTCTTCCCTGGGAGTAAACGGACAGAAAGAATCAAGTACTGCACAGGCGAAGCAAACAGTTAAGAAACTGCATCGCACCTCACAAAAGAAGGGCATCGTCTGAAATTAGTTGAAACTGAAAATGAATCGCAAAAAAAGAAAGATCAAAAGGCAGTTGCAAGGCAAGCCAGGCGCAGCGACCTTGCGACGAACGTTCGCTACGGAGTTCAGGTGAGCAATGCACCCCACAAAGCGCCGTAGTTCCTGGAATGTAAATCACCCCTGGCAAAGGCCTAGAAAATACGGAAAATGTCTTCAAAAGTTGTAAAACGCCTGGTCTGTTGACTTTAGATCAGCATGATTTCTTGTATGTCTTTGTCACCAAGAGTCATGAATATAGAATGCGTACCCACAAGCTATCCCCAGAAATTATCGAGCAAGTGTTTGACGGAGAATTCCTCTCTTGGGAGTCCACAATTAGAATCAGAACTTCAGAGCCTCTCTGAACTCGGCTTGCTGGAACACATTCTGCATATTTCGATCCTCCAAGGAACACAGGTCACTCTGAAAAACATCCGTCAGCAGATCATTCTCCCAGACTCCCAGCTCAAAATTAAAAAACAAATGAAGGTCTTGTAAACAAAACGTCAGATTTTGCAATCTATTTAAAGTATTTTAAAGTTAAAATGTGCTTGCAAAGTGCGATGTGAGGCGTGACCCGGATGACCTCAATCAAATGAAGATGTCTTTCCTTCTCTATGGCCTGTCACGGAGAAACTCTCGAATCGATTGGATTTCCCGCCCCGACAGTTGAAAGCTCACACTCTTGAACGCCGCCTGCACAACGAGTCTTCTTGCCTTTTCTTCGATTTCAATCAACTCCATGATATACCTAGAGGAAAACTCTGGCAAGGGTACTTGAAAGGCTTGCATCTAATTGCCAAACCTGCGATAGAAGCATGCTGTGGTGTCAAAATCTGCAGTCAACATAAAGTTATCCAGGAAGGCTCGCCTGCAAAAAATCGGCCAAGCAGTGCTCAAATCGTGAAAGTCTCACAGCTCTTCAAACATAAACATGCAGACCATTGCAGATGCTCGCTCATCTCTTTCTTCTCTGAGCATGCTCGAGAAACTTCTCGGAGATCACATGGCATATCCGGATAAATCCGGCACATCTACATTTTGAAGGGTTCCAACAGGACAGCTTTATGGCTCACATTGGGCTCACAGAGAGTTTGTCAATCCGCGAGAACCTGGCACTGCCGATGCACACTTTGAGTGTCTTTGATTCGTCAGAAATGCGGCAGTGCTCAAAATCAGTGGACTCGGCAGTTTCATGTCCTTGGCAACTTCTGTAGCAATGGGATCACTTGGGATCCTTTAACACCACAGTAGAAAACTCATTGTGCAAGCCTTGTGTGCACCAAATCCGTCCAGAAAATCATTTGCCTGGAGTTGTGTCAACTGTTAGGGAGAAAAACTATGGACATGGTTTTCAGCTTCTGAATGTTAATGATCCAGGAGCTCCAGTTTGAAAGAAGCGTGTGTAAGTATAGTCTTGGGCTTTCAGAGCCACCGTCATGCTGCACATTCCAATAGCATGTCCAAGCATGTCTGTATTGCTCGTTCCACATCGTTCCACATATCATTTTCCTCTTCCCTCAAGGCCTTGTGCCAGATGTCTGCTTCGACCTGATGAAGAACTCAACACTCAGCGAGCGCAATCTGAAAGATTCGAGGTGCAATATTGTGTCAAAACAGCGCAAAGTGCCTGGTCCTTTGGACATCCAGCTAACCTGATGCAACATAAAGCCATAATCAGAGAGCACAAACTGTCACAAACCTCATACCTGGGCTGGCCCTGTGTCTGGAATCATTCAAATTCTATGCAGAAAAATGCTTTGCAGCCACAATTTGCGCTTGAGGGGCTAGCAGTCTGGCGGTGCTTACCCAGCTCTTGTCCCGTTGCTGAAGGTCGGCCTGTCTGTTGGCAATACCTCATTCAATTTGCTGGACATCCAGATGGCAAGAAGACATTGCCATTGGACAGCTAGCAATTGCTCTGCTGCAACCTTGCTGTGCCTGCAACCCCGCTGTGCTAAAGCAAACCGCGTTTACCCAATAGAAGCATATAGACATCAAGCGTGCTATAATCCTAAGCAAAAACAGTGTAACTGCCAGCACCAGCCCTTCCTAGAATTCGGTTTTCATACCATAGGCCCGCACAGGCAAGCATGCTTGTATGCGGCATCAAAAAGGCTCTACCAACGTTTCCTTTGGTACGACAAGAGAAATGTGCATTCCAAGCAGACTTTGTATCCTGGGAACCCCAGCGGTCAGCATCTATGGTGAAACCTTTAACATTTCCTGGTACCAAACGCCATGCAGCAAGTCCACTGAGACCTAAGTACGGAATTCGGTCGAGCTGCTCCAAAAGCTCAAAAGGAAAAGAATTAACTCTCGCAAGTCTCAAGGCTATCCAGCCTGCAGGGGCAATTCCTAAACGCCCTAACTTGAAAGAATTTGAAGCAGCTTCATTCGAAGGCAACGAGGCTTACACCGTCTACAGCATCGGCCTGCCCATGGCATTGCCCGTGTTGTCCATGCTGTCCATGCCATTCAGATTTGATGTTCGAGGGCTGTTTCTTGAGACCGAGCTTGTGTTCAGGGCCAGGCATCGATACCCAACAGCTTCTCCACAGTGGCAAGTTGCCCTGCGATTTCGCTGTTGACCGTCTAGTCGCTGGACTTTCAAGTCATATTGACAAAATCTGGCAAGTCATTCTGACAATGCTGTTGAGTGGCAAACCTCTGAGTTGCAACGCTCGTTGTTCCTCAACCGCCCTCTCCTGTCCAATGATACACTAAGTTGCTTTGTGTGTGTGTATCAGAGGCAGGCACGAGATCTTTTGTCGTTTGAGTTTAAAGGTACTTCTCCTTGGAAGGTCTTTCTATGAGTATGACTTGAAACACGATAACATGCACGTCAAGAACACATTTGTTGCAATTTCCTTTGTTCCGTGCATTTCTGGGCTACCAAGAAGTTCCTTTCCCGAAAAAATATATCACAAACAAACACACTCCGCCATCACCCAAGTCTTCTGCTTTTGTCATTTTTTGCGGTTTCTCGAATACGTTCGCATGGTGCAACAGGTATTCAGACATTTGTAAAAGAAATTGCAACTTGTATTGGAAGCCGATCACCAGTGAGTATCGCAGACGCTGATGACACGAGGAGGGACCGCTCTACCACGTGTGGGTGTAGAATGCGAATCATGGGGTGTGTGAATATGTCATAGCATTTCAATGTGTATGTGTGTGCTAATGCAAATGTCGACGCAGTGGTGTTTCAGTTGATCTGCCAGCAATTGAGCCTGCCAAAAGGACGAGACAGAAAGTGAGCCAACAATAATGATGGCCTGTCTTGTAAACACTTCCGGTGCCCGTGCAGGGTGTTTCAAATTATGTCTCATCCTTTATGTCCCGCCTTCCGGACCAATGCCAGGTCCTTCACCATGAGCTGCGCAGCTATCAAAGCCTTTGTGGCCTGTGCATAGCAGGGAGCAATGAACCAGCCTTGAGCCTTGGTTCCGGGTATCCGGTCATTAATTTTGCATCGTGGCTTCGCCTTGTCCCGCTTTGCATCGCTGGCAACGGATTGAGTGAGCGATTGCATCGACAGCAGAGGTTCCACCTCGACAAAACATCCACTGCCCATCACTGCACTGAGTCGACATCAGTCAACGACATGAATCAACATCAGTCAACCCTCAGTCAACCGTAAATCAACCCTATGTCAACCCTAAGTCAACTAGCATCTCCGAATTCAGTGTCTCTAAGGCATTGGCAGTTCGAGGCAGTGAAGCGGAAGTGCCTGTTTCAAGCTCTTCTTGCACCAAGCAATTCAGAACGTCATGCCACTCAAGAATGCCAGCTACCTGCATCTAAATCTTGTCGTCTCAACCTCAGTCGCATGAATGCATCTTTCAAATTCTTAAGTTCATAAAACTTGATTTCAGGGCAAAGCACTCTTCTAGTGTAGCGGTACTGAGCATGTCACCCAGGTTCAGAAAGCAAGTATTGCTCCATGATTTTTTGGTTGGGTGCCAAAGAATTGGCAAGTCGATTGCGAGTGTTTCTGTTTCAAGAGTTTGAAATTTGAATAAAGGACCTTTCGCATGTCACTATGTCTTCTCACAGGACATCAAACAGAATACAATCTTTGTACTGTAAACTGGTTTGACATTTTGACAAGTTTGTCAGAATTAAGGGGGAGCATCGTCCGTAGACTGTTGGTTCCATGTCAAAAATAAACACTGTCTCTTTGTGGCGGCATTCCTGGATTGGGTAAACATTTGCTGAGATCAGGTCACAAACGAATGCACAAAATGCACCAGGAGATGCTGGAGCGCACAGATCTTCTCTTAGAGATCTCAGAGACTATTGATACCGAGCTCATCGACCATTTTATTACAACATATTCCAACAATATCAACCACTTTGTCACACTTAAAAACCTCGCAATAAGAGTCTGACAGCATTTTGAACAGTCTGGGAACAGAGTCTGGAAATGTAACAAGGGCACTTGTGCTCAAAGCTGGCCCAGGCAGAATCCAAGGCAACCTGACGATTTTTCATGCTCAGAGCTGAAGACGAATAGATTCACAAATGGCAATCAGGAGTTGATTCACGGAGACAGACTGCATATAAACAGGTAGACACATAGATCGAAAAAAAAAATGCAGAATGTCGCCCTAGTTCATAGCATCGTTTCAGGGTGAATTTTCAAGATTGGGGCAGCTGGGGACAAGGCCAGCCCAGAGCGAATATCACATCTTGATGGTCGATTGGCTTTGCCCTGCAGTTCAAAGTGAGAATCTTCATTCAAAAAAGGATTAAAAAAAGGGCACCAAGACTGAACAAATCTGAAATGTTTCATAACATTGCAGTCGAAACGCAAAACACTGCACCTGCTCTGTGTTCCACCGCTCCAGAAGCACTGCCAGGTCAGCCCAACATCGCTGCAGAGCCTTCAATGTACAGTTTCATGCGGGGCATGGGCAAACTGGGCAGATAGGTGTTTGTAAAGCACAAAGTCCCAAAACTCCAGGCATACCTTCAGGCTGGTATAGCTACAGTATAGGTACAAAGTATGGTTTTAGATGCGAGAAACAGAGAAACACAGCTGACTACAAATTCTGGATCCTACCCATCAGCAAACCTTAGTTCACACGGGCAGTTTTGCATGTCGGCTTTTGGTGAGATCAGCAAAGCAAAGTCTGTTTTGTGCCTCTGCCCGGCGCATGGCTTCTGCACTGAACTCGAACTGAAACACAGACCAAGAATGACCCAAAGACTCCAAAAGACCACTATGATTCAAAATATGAAGTGCAAATTCAGTAGTTTGACAATCCAAAATGTGATTTTATTGTATTCCAATGTATTTCATCGCGTTCACCAAAACATTTCAACACTTGATGCACTGCAGGATTTGGCCTTGTCCCCGTTCACCCAAATGACGGCGTATTGCTCGACACTTGCCTGGGTATGGAGGTATGGACTGAGCGAAACAGCCACTAAAGTCAGCACCAGAAACTAGTTGAAAAGTTTGAACATGTTTGTTCATGTCTGAACATGTCTGAACACACAAACATTTGGATAATGCGGGAGATTTGTTGAGAAATTCAGTGGTAGAAACACAGTTATTCTTACACTTATCCCAGTGACATGAACTGCTGAAGTGTTTATTGATTACCATTTCGTCGTGCCAACCTGTCCAGGTTTACTAGATCTGAAACAAATATTTGTGCACAGTTCAACTCAGTTCAACACCGCAAGTTTGTTTCTCAGTGGATTATTTTCCTTTAGCCATTTGTTTATTTTCCTTGAGTGCAAGACGCTTCGGACACCCATAGATTCTTCACTTGATCATAGCAATTTGGCCACTGAAGTGAAATGAGTGAAAAAAACATCTACCAGTCTGAAACAAGTGTTGCACCTATGCGTTCATCTAGTTATGAACCGATACTACACTGAATCCATGGTTGCACTGCGCGCAAATATTTCCTACCCCGCCTTTGCAAGGCACTTTGTGCCACTGCAACTTGAAACTGGCAGGCTGGATCATTTAATTAGCGTCTAGTCTTCATCTGAACGTGAAAGGTCAGTCAAACTCGGCATCATTGCCCAGACTTCTCCACGCTGCTCAACGCGCAGACGACAGAGTCTCTCCATCACTTCACGTTGGGCAACATACCTTTGGACTTTGAACTCAAGCCTCGACGCATGGCACGACCCAGCCTCTCAGTGAGTCTCTCAACCATCCATAGAGCCATGTGCTCAGGACTTCTCGGTTGAAAAGGATCTCCCATGTCCTCAACTGCAACGTATCCAGGTGGATCTCGGACAATGAAGCTCTCTACTTCGGGTTCATCTTCAAGATAGGTGAATCCATCTTCAGGTGCGACTGAAAGAAGGTCAAAACCATTGAAGTTGGTGTCAGTCTCACGCGAGCTGTCATCAGCTTGCATCATGATCTGCAGATTGTCTGAAGAAATGCCATCTCTCTCAAACACCACAAAACGGTCTTCCAGAGAATCATAAATTCCATTCAATGCTTCTGCTTTGTCATGGTCACCATCATATTCTGCATCATCCAAAAGTCGCAGGGTGTGGCCAATGCAGACACTCAAGAAGCAGTAAACGGCCTCTTTGTTGAACGTGCGCAAGGGTTCAACGGTTTCCTCAGCGGCCTCACTGTCGGCCTCAGGCTCTGGTTCAAGAAGGAGCGGCATCATGAAAACGGCAGCAAAAATGCAGAACATGGCAATGGCTACAAACAACCAACATTAAAAAAAAAAACATCAAGTTGTGGCCAAAAGGATTCTGGCATTGGGCTCATCATGATGGGCAGGCTCAAGGCGTCTGCAGTGTTGACCACTGTTATCAAAAGGAGCATTTGCAGTGTTTTCTTGGCTGACAAAATAGCTTTGCGGCCACGACCATTGTTGCCAGCTTCACACACCATGCGCAAAACACCTTTGAAGTCCTCTTTGGACCTTTCTCGTTCCACAACTTCCTTTCCAACAAGTTCACCAGTGCCTTCGTTGAAAACTCCAACACCATACATGAGGCAATGCATACGATCTTAACAAATCTTCTTGGTGCCTAAGTCTGCAAAATTCTCTTTGGTGCATATGGAGGCTGTTTCAAGCTCCCTTCTTTTCACAAGCCCTTGGATCCAGAGAACACGGCAGGAAAGATGACGTAACCTGCCAACACCAGATCGCTGTCGAACTTGCTTTGCAGCTGTGTTGTCAAGGATCAACTTCAAACGTGGGGTTTACCCAAGGCAGAAATCAATGCAAACACGAAGCAACAGCGCGTAACACGTTGTAGATACCGCTGCATGAACTTCAACTTCTGCGCTGTGTGCGGCTGGCTGCAAGCAAAAGACGCCCCTGAAAGAAAATTGCCCCTGAGCTCACAGAACGTCGATGGCCCTTGTGGGCAGCCCAATCAGAGTCAGAGAACAAGTCTATGACTACTCCATCATCAACTGTAGGTGAATGCCACAAGCCGTCCTCACAAACATGCAAGCGCAGTGAGTTGTTTCTAACTGAAGTCAGGTAGAGGCACAAACGCTTCAACATCGTCCAGCTACGCTCAGTGGGAGAGCTCATGTATTGAGCCAAACCTCGTATTGTGTATGCACATTCCACCAAGTCACTTGCCAAATAGAGCAACAAACCAACGCTGACCTGAAACGTGAAGACTTCTCAGGACCTAGAGCAGGTGTGTCGTCAAACTCATTCATCAGTTCATGGCATGGAACCTTCTTGGGATGCATAGAGTTGCTGACACCGACCACCTCAAACAGCTTCTCAAAATGGCGAGGGTTCTTCTGAATGTGAATCACGTCCTCGTCCACCAGCGTGTGGATGCGCTTGAGAAATTCAAAGGAATCACTGGCTGTTGACGGAAATCTTATTCTTGTCACTCAGCGTCGGCATGAGTTTCGTGTCAAAGTACTGCTGCTCTGTCAAACAAGCATATCATCAACATGCAACAAGATCAAACACTCCTCATTGCCCAAAAGACTGGGATAGGCATCGCAATGTTTGAAGCTGAGCCCCTCACGCAAGAATCTGCTGACACCTTCAAACCAGAGTTGGCTTCCATCATGCTGACCCGGCAAAAACTTTGCCGAGTGCAAAGGTATCTTTTCCAGAGGAAAACAATGTCGTGTGAACTTGATCCACTGTCAAAAATGCATCACCAATGTCAATGCCAGTGAGCATGGAAAAGATCCTGCCGCTCTGGAGTCAACCAAGCGTACTCACGAGCCACATACCTCAGCCAGCATCGCTCACCATTCAACACTTTGTCACGCCACGTGATCACATACCAAGTGGACAAACGCTTGAGGCTCAAACCTTCGACAGTATCAGGTGGGAGAAGGGCGCCCATCTGTTTGAGGCGCATTGTCTCCACTTCAATTGCCACCTCATCCAGGTAACGCATCTCTTCAGCAGGCAGCTGAGCCTGCTCAGCATATGGAAAAATCAACTGCTGCACCAGGGAATCCTGAGTTGAAATCTGATCATCCACGTCATCGCTTGACAAACTAAAATCAAACTCTTCCAAGCCATCAAGTTCCGAGCTTGTAAAGGAGCAACCATGCAGATGCGAGCCTTCTTTGATGCAGACTCTTCATCAGCCTCTGGTGAAAGAGGGACATCTGCACCGACATCCATAGGCGTAGCAAGGCCCGGTGCAAAGGCTGTAGAAGGTGGTGGCATCATTCGGGTTGGAGACCCGCCTCAGGTGGAGCAACAGCTTCTCTTGGAGTCCCTGGAAGTCCAATGGTGCAGACGCATTTGGTTCTGGAACTTGCTCAATTGGTGTAGGTGGAATGCCTTTCACGGCTTCAGCTTCTTCATCAAAGTATGGCTGCAGGCTTGCTTTTCTCAGGCTGCACACTTCCAGGAGGCAATGCAGGTGTGATCTGCGGTGCTGGCTTCAGAACACACTTTGGTACCATCAGCTTCGAACCGAGTGTGGCAAAGGAGCACTCCCATGGTGACCAAGCTTTGCAAAAATTCATGGAGTTGGGTTTCGACGCACAGATCTTGTGATGAACAAACCACCATTGCGAGAAATGATGTGAGCATCGTTGCTCTGTGTTTTGCCCAACCACACTCCACGCTGCCATGAAGCAAGGCCTTTTGCAGAAGGCTTCAAGTATCCCATGCAAACCTCACCAAACCAACAAATCTGTCCATGATATTCTCGTCCAGTGCAACACTCATAGGCTGTCTCACCATTACTGACAGCAAATCGACAATGAAGCCAGCTTGCATGGATGATGGCCTAGGAATACAAAGGATGGAGTGCACCAAACAGCACCCTGCCATGAGCGCCAAGTGAACGCTCAACCTGCTCGATCAAAAGGTTTGCTTGATTGCGTATGGTTTGGACTGTCACCTCTGCAGCCCCATTGGCTTCCTTGTTGCCAGGCACCGCAAGCTCAACGGTGACATGCACACCTAGGCCTTTCAAGGCCCTCTTGCAGGGATCAAGCAGTGACAATAGGTTCATTGTCAGTTCGAAGCAAACTTCTTGATGGCCCAGCCACGTCCCAAAACGACACAACTCCTGGGTCAGGTAAGGCAGGCTCCGACCTCCCTTGGCAGCTGTAGGAACCGCATGCATCATCTTCGTGCTTATATCATGTATGAAAAAGATTGTCAATGAATCATCAGCTCCACCGTCAGCATAACCAAAATCCAAAGACACTACAGTATGTGCAGGTGAAGTATGGCTCTCACGGTGGTGATGATCTTGGCGCTCTTTTTGTGCCACACTAAGCTCACACCAAGCTTTGAAGGGAATGTGAGTGGCGTTGTGTTCATGCACCTCCTCCTCGCTTGGCTCAGCAGGGACACCAGGTTGGCTTACTGAGCGCTGGAGCTCCTTTGACAGGTTGTGCTTGACTGAATGTGCAGCTACCATCTCCTGTTGTTTCAAATGTTGAACCAAACGTTTGAAAACCTGCGCGCGTGAATCATGAACAGACACTCCAAGTGAATCACAAGCTGCTTTGAGAACTGCAAGTGAAGAGTTGCTATCAATGCGTGTGCCGTCCAGTATGATCTCGTCAGGGCCAGCCACAACATCAGCGCTAGCACCTTCATCAGGTGCCACTGGAGCCGCAAAAGGGGCTGGTGCATCAGCAGGTGCGGATGGTTGCGCAGGGGACGCCATCTCCTCATCTTGGTGAACAGGTGCGCGCTCACTGTTTGCCACAGCAGGGCGTGCTGAAGATGAACTGTTTGAATCACCATGCATGGGCCCCAGCAAATCCAAAGCTTCATCCAACACAACAAAACCAAGCTGGTCATGTGTGCACTCACGTGAATGGCCAATTGTAAGTAATCACCTCTTGAACAGAACCAGGGTCTGGCAAAGCAGCTTAAAGTGAACCTGTGATGAACTCATCTGAGACAAAAAGGTTGTGCTGGTGCACTTGCCAACGCCCTGAACGTTTCAACAAAGTTGTACGATACCACAACATACTTGGGGATGGAGCAAGAGAGACATCAACACAAACTGCTTTATATGTCTTGATGGCATAGCATTCAGCACCATGCTTGGTCCAAGTCGTTCTGACCCGTTGCAGTGGACGTTTCAACTGCACAGCACGCATGTGAGAAGTTCCTGAGTCCTCCAACATCCTGATATCTCCAGACATGCAAAGGCTGTTGCGCTTGAAAGAAACTGGAATGGCCTTACCGGCCTTCACAAGGTCATGAAGATCATCGCCCAATCTTTTGTAAGCTCCATCCATGCTTCATCAATTTTCCAAGTGAAAGCAAAGGACTTGTGATTGATGCCACAAACAATAAACTCTTCCTTCAAAGAGAAACCACCAAAATCAACTGTTGCCAAACGAGTGCTGGAAATGTTCTTGAGCATCCACAAAGCGCAATTTTTCATCTGAGGTCGTTGCAACACCAGCTCGTGCATATGCCAGGGGCAGCGCTGACCCATCGGCACCGCTGTCCAAAATGATCTTCACTGCACGCATGTGATTCAAATCATCATCAGCATGAAAAGTCCATGAGTCATCGTGGTCAGAGTATGTCATATCAAACACTTTGCATCCATGTTGTAGAAGAGTGAAAAGATTGCCACTAAAAACTGAATCTGAGGTCAGATCGTCGACCCAAGGCTCTTCAAGCAAATCTCCACAATGGTTCTCTGTCCAGCAAAATCAAACCTTCTAACGTTACCAGTGCTCTGATTGGACTGCTGGCTATACGTAGTGTGTGGTGAAGGTTGCACAAGGGCCACATGAGACTGAATTGGCTGCTGAGTTCCAGACTGGTGCACGGCTGACTTGCTGGTGGTGGAGGTGGTACTTGCTGGAAAGTGCCATCCTCAACTTGTCGCACTTGGCCAGTTTCTTGATCACGTTATATCACGTTTGAACTTCCTGCAATCCCTTTTTCAATGGCCAGACTTTCCACAGTACAAACAAACGTTGGACTGGTCAACCTGGGAGGATGGTGTGTCCTTCCCCTTGCCAGTGGGTGAGGAAAACTTGCCGTTCACTTTGCCTTAGCCCTTTGAATTGGAACCGTCTGACTTTGACTTGCCCTTAGACATGCTCTTGCTCTTGCTCTTCCCTTTTGATTCCACCCTGTTGGCATCCAGTGGCCCTCCAGTTTCATGTGTCGTTGAACTGGAGGAAGCTCCAATGATCCCAAACTCAAAGTGAATACGTGAGGGTGCCCAACTGCTGGTCACAGTTTCAAATCCCAAAACACGGCTTCGAACTGTAGCATAGGTTGCAGATTGATCCAAAGACAGCTGAATGTGTTGCCTCGTGTGGGCAGGCAAGCACTTGATGAGCACTGAAAGACTCACCTCATCAGGTACTGTAAGCCCACTTGCCTTCTGATACTCAGCAATCAACCGATCAAGCCCTTGTATGTGGTCATAGAACGACTTATCCTTACTAAATGCAGAAAGGCTCATCAAAGCGCTGAGCAAAGCCATCGAGCGCGGCTTGGTGCTCGGTTTGAACAGCTTCAAAAGATGTCTGTACACCTCATATCCATTTCGGCCTGAGACACCTCGCAGCACCTTCAGTGAACGGCTGCGTAAAAGTCCAACCAAAATGGAATGCAACTCCCTGATACGAGATGTCATCTCATCTGAATGAACCTTGCAAATCCACCTTGCTACGTTTGCTGAAATCCACCTTGCAAATCAGATTCAAGCCCAGCATCTGCGGCTCCAAGCCATGCCAAAAGATTGAGTTCGAAATCAGGCCAAGCTGCCTGCTCTGCCTCTGGCCCTACTGCAGTAAAAAGATTGGGCATCCATGTGCAAACTTAGTAGTACTTGTAGGTGAACTATCGGAAGAAGAACCAAGTTGCGCTGCTATCTGTTGAGACAACGCCTGCTGAGACGCTGCTGCAGAAGCTGCATTCTGGGCAGCCATGATCAGAGCATTTGCAAGCTGTTGCGCTTCACTGCTGGCACATCTCCATGGGGTGAAGTGGGTGATGTAGGAGCTGACATCCAACGTGCAAAAATGAAACCACTATAAAATCACCAGAAAGCAATGCCTTCCAAAGGCAACTGTTTGTTGCCTAAGATGGCCTCCAAGGCCTACAGTCCAGTGAAAAATGGCTTCAGCACGGAGGCGCGCTGGGTCTTGCGGTAAGGCAGGGGATCCACGGGAAGCGGTCTGTGCCCGAGCTTCACCCACAGCCTACCGGGGATTGGGTCCTGTCCCCTTTTGAGCCCTCACTCCAGATGACAAAGCAAATGGAGATCCCAGGGCTCCGCTACCATGCTTATTTTCCTTGAATGCAAAACGCCTCGGACTTGATCATAGCCATTTGGCCACTGAAGTGAAATGAGTGAAAAAACATCTACCAGTCTGAAACAAGTGTTGCACCTATGCATTCATCTAGATATGAACCGATACTACACTGAATCCACATGGTTGCACTGTACGCAAATATTTCCTACATCTTGTGAAACAAAAATTTCCTGTCGTCTGAATTTCCCAAAAACCCTAGAGATGTGGCCTCTTCCACCAAATTCGTTTTGGGTGAGGAAGGCCGAAATCATGTCAACACAGAACCAATGACAGCTGAACTGTTGCAAAGACGCACGTAAACTCGTCAAACAGTTATATGTGAAGCGGCAAAGAGTCCAGTCGTGTGTAGCGTCCGCTTTCTGGCAGAAATTGCCGAAAAATTGGACTATTTGGTTTTCCCACTGCCAAAATTTCTGACAAATCACCCGCTTCACTTCTTTCGGCTCACTTGACACATGAGAGTAACATGTTTCCGGCCGAAATGAAATGGTATGTTCTGCCAATATATTATGACGTATAGCAAGACCGAGGTTTTTGCTTCAAGTACATCTACTCGATAGTTGCGTGCCTGGCAACAAGATACAGGAAAAATTGTTGTTGGGGATTGTCTTGGATCGTGCAAAGAAAACACACGAATCCATTTTGTTTCGATTTAAAACAATCAAACAGCATGTTACATGAAATTCCAACAACGCTGCAAGCGATCACAATGCCTTTGTCTTCGGTCCATTGACGACTGCATCACAGGGCACCTCGTCTGGGAAGAGAGCTCGATAATTGATGGTAAATGAGGCACGGTACCTGCACGCAGAAGTGCCATGAAGTCTTGCAGTTCAATACACATACCAATTGTGACGGAAAAAACATTGTAATTGTCTAGTTTTCCACAATTACAGTCATTTGCTACAAGGTAGATCCGCTAAGATGGAGAACGCCCGCAATAATCCTGGGGCAGGCTAAAGATCGACTAGGGACATATTAATCAAAGGGAAACTTGCTAAATGTGTCTTTCATTGGAGGCACTTCCTTGGTGCTGCATCAAGGTGCATGGCCTCATCAAATCGGGACCGTAAAGTACATAGTTCGCTGTCTCACATGATTGAAGTGCATGGGTTGAAATCGTCTAGTTTGAATAGTTTAAATGAAAAATTGTTTGTCGAGACCGGCACTCTTTCAGTGGCATCGAGACACTCCAAGAACAATGCGCAAGAATTAAATCCTGCCTGCCGAAACACAAAAAATAAAGTCACTGCAATATTGCGACCAGAATACACAATTCAACAAAAAAATTAAAAGTGAACACGGAGTGACCTCACTTTTTGTATTCACTCGGCCACTTTCCATCATAAGCCGGCTGTGTGCCGATGCCAATCTGATCACAGCAGCCTGCACAAAAACAAACAATTTGAACGTGCGAATTTTGAGACATTCAATGAAAACACATTGTTGACTCTTTGGCACACAGTTGCATTTGTTCGCAAGCGCCTCTTCCTGTGAACTGTATGCATCACCATCTTTTGACCAAAGTTTTCGGAACATGATTGGCAAATTCCTGCGAATGAAATGCGGAACAAATTTGAACGCTTGAAATTTCAAACTGCCAACGCATACTGTCCTGAGGCCACCATTGGCGGATCTGAGGTTGCCGCTGGAACCCAAATTCACAATGAAACCAAATAGAGTTTTATGTGCATAGACAGGCATATTGCAACATTGGCTCAGTTTATGCTGTGTAATTCTACAAAGCATGAAGCGCATGATATAACCTGTTATTTTGTGGCAATGCAATTGTTTTTTAATGCTACAACAAAAGAAATTGCATCGGTTCGCGTCTCACAGAACTGGGCCATTGAATGTTCTCATGTGGTGGTTGCCTCACAAACATTCCAAAATGTAAACAATATTCCACATTGAAATGGTCACGGAATGAAAACAAAAGGCCGATGGACAACGCAAAACTCCCAAAACATCGGACATTAATATCCTGTCCTGTCCTAATGCCAAAAATGCAGCCAAAATACAATTTGGTAAGGTCCAGCGCGACGCAATTCTGACAAACACGATTATATAATATGTGGAAACATGTCTGTCGCGTGCAAAAACGGGAACTGCGGATTTTGCCGTTGTTTTTGTGCATCATGTATATAATTGATTTTGTTGTTTTGAAAGTGAAGGTGATACAGGGCACATCTTATTCATTTTTTTGCAAAAAAAAATGGACATGTTCGGAATTCGTTTTTTTCGTTACTTGCAACCAATTTTTTGGGGAAACGCGGCAACTGTTCAACATGTGCAAAAAAATTGTGCCCTTGGCCCTTGTACACAATTTTGGCAAGCCTAACTGACCCGAAAAACAAAAAAAACATTTGGCATAGTTGGTTTTTCACGTGTTTGGTTGGTTTTGGACTTCCATGTTTTTGCTATTGAATGATGTGTTTTGCTACATGACATAGCTGGACCAGCTGGCACATACGAAATTGCGCGAAACAACTTCGCCGTTTTATTAATAACTGAAAATGCAAAACCCAACCTCTTATACAAGCGCCAAAATGCGGAGCTCGGAGCAACGTTTATAGTCACACGTGTTGAGGCAACGCTTGGAAAATTGAGAACTTTACATATAACAAACAGAAACACCGGCGGTCCGGTTTGACTTCGACGAACTGCTAACACAATAGTTGGAATTGTTGTACTACATGTTGAGCAAGAGCAGTTTGCGTGTGGGAGCAATGGGGGAGAGCAAATGTTCGGAAACGTGTAAATTCAAGGGCGAAAACACTCTCGGGCGCGAAACCCTGTGTTTTTTCGGGTAATGTGGCTCCTGGGGTCGCCGAAGTACGGTCTCTGTTTCCGTGGTTCCGAATCTCGATCTGGGAGAGTTGTCGACAAAAAGCGCACAGGGCCGCAGTTGCAAATCGCAAAAAAACTGAAGGGAGGTTGGAGCACTGATCAGGTCGGTTCCGGGCCTCGATCTGGCAAAGCTGTCGACAAAAAACGCACAGGACTGTAGCGCTGCGCAAACGTTGGTCGATGTGATGCGAAACTCCTGCTATGCGGCTTTGCAAGCGGCCGCGACACAACGCTCAGCGGCTGCTTGTCTATTGCTACGTCGTCTTCCCCAGGTACTTCATGGAGGAAGTAGTTTTTTATGAGGCAGCGCCTGTAAATTCGTTTCTTCCTTCCTTCATTCTTTCATCTGTTCATTTATTCATTTGCTCGGTCTTGGATCCAACCTGCTGGGTCAATGTCCCTCTGTGCAGCATCGTCTGGGATCAAAACTTTGGCCGCAATGGAACATAACACAGCAATGAGGGTCCAATGGTATTTCGACGCCAGGTGAAGAGCCACCGCCGAAGTACCGGCCAAGCACACTTCAAGATGAGTTTTATGATGTTCATCTGATGCCCATTCACGAACGAACGGGAGGGCTGATTCGACCATGGCGTCTAATTTGGTGAAGTCGGTCATTGCAGCCTGGCGAAAAATTGTTTTATAAGGTCCACCCTTTGGACAAAAATGGCAACAGCAAGAAAAACTAGGACAGCTGGCACACCAAGATCATGAGTAAATCTGGCTACTTGTGTACCACTGGGGTGGGACCGGCCATTTTTCACTCAATCGAAAATCTTGGCACATGCTGGTCGCATGCAAAGTCGAAATTGAGATGGAAAAGTCTCGGCGGGAACAATTTCTTTATCCCACATTGCATGCAAATTTGAAAGATTTCTGCACGAATCCATCATCTGTTGTAACGATGCAGAATGGATCATTGGCCTCACAACCTGCTGCCACATGCGCAATGTTAGAAGAAACATTGAGGAGAAAGATACAATCAGACGATTTCATCTGAACCAGAGGAACTGCAGTGTCTTCAGATGGAACATCACGCTGATCAATGTCAGATTCATCTGAGTCGGTGTCAAGCAAGTCAGCAGTGTCAGGAAGACAGAGTGGGGCTTGGTCTGGTCCAGGCCCTTGATCAGCAACAGCTGGCAGAGAAACCGGTCGGTCAGAAACTGGCTTCGCACCTCCCCGCAAAAGAGGTATGACCGGGCGAAATCCAGCAGTGATTCTCTGGATGATCTGATGTTGCAGTTGAACCGCAGGATGGACATCATCACGACCATATAGGGCCTACGTTGAACTTGGCACCGGATTGACGGTGGTGTCCTTGTGCCATACGAAGTTCTTCAGAGGCACCTATCTGCCTCACCCAGCTGAGCAGTGTCACTTTGGGTGAATGAACCCCCACACTCAGGACCGAGGCGTCCCGATGTGATTGCAGCAACAACTTCCTGAGCAGCAGTACGCCTTGAGAACGTGGCAATGGAGCAGAAAACACGGGATGAGCCAAGTTGGGTCCACATTGCGGTATCAAGAAGTCCGGCTTAAAGCCTGGGAACAACTCTGAAGTTCTCTGCAACGCCTGACGGACCAAGTTCAACCACTTGGTCGACCAGGACACTTGTGAATTCACCGCCAGCAAACCAGACTTCACGAAGGCGAAAGGCGTTCCACGGGATGTCGTTTTGGTTTTGGCTGCTACTCCTCTGATGATGTCTGAATCTTCCACCAGACCGCAGGGCGAAACCCAGAGAGCGTCGCTCCATCGAAGAGATGACCACACCAAGACAAGGATGGAGCCCATGAGGAGGCGGTCAGCAGGTGTCCCGATGTCTTTGAGGAGACAGGACTCTAGGTGAACCACAAAACTAAGTGGTGAGGGTGCCGCTTCTTTTCTCGGAACCACTTCAGTAGGGATGGTATATGCCCTTGTGATTGGTGCTTCCAGCGCTTGTTTGAGCAAGGGGAAACCAGCGTATTTCGAAATCCAAACCAAGGCCCTTGATTGGGCTGTTGCAACACCCAGAGCACTTCTCTTGGAGGAGACTTGGAGGAAGTCTGCCAGCAGCACCATAGGTGGGTGATATGGGCTTGCGTCATGGAGTTGGCAAAAGTCCACCCAATGATTCCAGTTTCGGAAGTAGGCAGCTAATGTAGATGGGGCGAACTTGGCGATGACCCTTGAACGGTGGACTGCATCGCTCGCGCTTTCCCGTGTAGCCTTCACCAAGTCACTTGCATCACCAGCCTTCTCCAGTAAGTGCAACCATTCCAAGTGATGTTGCTCTCTTAATTGTTGGTGAAGGGATAACATAGACCCGGGCAAGCCGGCGGCGGAAGTTTCCCAAGAATAAATGACCTATAGTTCGACGCCAGCCTGTCCCGACCGTGTCCTTCACTCGACAAGCGGCTTTTTTTTCAGCGAGAGACGAAGCAAAGTCTTCACACTCCACACTTCGCACTCCACACTTCACACTGCACTCTTCGCACTCGAAACTTCACACTTCACACTCCACACTTCGCACTCGAAACTTCACACTCCACACTTCACACTTCACACTCCACACTTCACACTTCTCACTTCTCACTGCTGCCTTCACACTCCAAACCTCACACTTCACACTTCACACTGCGCTCTTCGCACTCCAAACTTAAACTTCACACTCCACACTTCACACTCCACACTTCACACTTCACAGTTCACACTTCTCACTTCCCACTGCTTCCTTCTCACTTCGCACTTCACAGTCCACACTTCACGGTCCACACTTCACAGTCCACACTTCACAGTCCACACTTCACACTTCACACTTCACACTCCACACTTCACACTTCACACTTCACAGTCCACACTTCACACTTCACACTTCACAGTCCACACTTCACACTTCTCACTTCTCACTGCTTCCTTCACACTCCTAACTTCACACTTCTCACTTCGCACTTCACACTCCACACTTCACACTCCACACTTCACACTTCTCACTTCTCACTGCTTCCTTCCCACTCCAAACTTCACACTCCAAAACTCACACTTCACACTTCTCACTTCGCACTTCGCACTCCACACTTCACACTTCACAGTCCACACTTCACACTTCTCACTTCTCACTGCTTCCTTCCCACTCCAAACTTCACACTCCAAACTTCACACTTCACACTTCTCACTTTGCACTTCACACTTCTCACTGCTTCCTTCACACTCCAAACCTCACACTTCACACTTCACACTCACTCTTCGCACTCCAAACTTAAACTTCACACTCCACACTTCACACTTCTCACTTCCCACTGCTTCCTTCACACTGCACACTTCACACTGCACTCTTCACACTCCACACTTCACACTGCACTCTTTGCACTTCAAACTTCACACTCCACACTTCACAGTCCACACTTCACACTTCTCACTTCTCACTGCTTCCTTCACACTCCAAACTTCACACTTCACACTTCACACTGCACGCTTCACGCCCCACACTTCACACTGCACTCTTCACACTCCACACTTCATCTCATCTGAGCTCTTCTCACCTTATCCCAGCTCATCTCTTCTCATCTCGTCCCTTCTCATATGTTATCTATTAAGCTTTCATTAATCAATTCCCAGCACTACTACTAATCACTGTCGCAGCCTTCATGCAGCCACTCCAATACGATTTACGAGATCCAGCTGGAAAAGACAATGGTATTACGCATGCAGCCACAGCACGAAGCAACCTTGACGCAGCCATTACAATGCGATCTGCAGAGACTGAGTTGCAAAACACAATAGAACTACGCGCAACTGGGTCGGAAATTGCAGC